TATCATTTTGCTGTAAGTCATGCCAAGTATGCTGATAACGCGCAGTTCGCCGATAAATACGACTTTACCTTATGAATGTATATACCTTATCACACACACGTACACACATCATTTTTATATATATTTCAACGAGCAACAACAGGTTCATTTAATTTAGACACAGTCCAAATACAAATGGCCACATGGATTTACTGATAAGTGGCAAACGTTCCCTGACGCATTCATCAATAGCGGAAATGTGTGTAAATAACTTGAAATTTGAAAAACAATAACCCATTGAAAACTATTGCAGTATGAATCAGAGCCCAAGATGCTGACCAAAATTAGAGAGAAAGAAACATAAAAGATATTATAAATAAATTAAACGTTTTGCTTTGAGATGACGCATAAGATTTAAACAAATTTCATTTGTATGTGGTAGGTGTTAATCATGCAAACACTCAGAAAATGCAGGTGTATAAAAAGTGTGGCATACTCGTCCACGAGATGCCCTGTAGCAGTGATTAGTTATTAAGAAAGGGAAATAAACTTAACCTTCTCTTTCTAATGCTTAGCACCATTATACAAATGAACCTAACACAGACAGAAATGTCTCCTTCACAATCACATCATTACTCATTTATACATTTATACAGGGTATAAAAGAAGACGCAATTAATATTTGCCTACATTCTTTGCATTTTCATTGTGTCTAATTGTCTAAACAAAGTAGTTTCAAGCGCAAAAAAAAATGTGGGGAAATATTTGTTGTTCAATTTGTGCTTCAATTGTATTTCAATTATCGCTGCCTCAAAAAACAAAACACAAAATAACTTGGTCAAGCGATAAGTGGCAAAGGAAATGCGTGCTCCATTAAAGAAATTATATACTCGTATACTACATGATATGTATAAATATCATTTCCAAGAATGTTTTGCCTTATCAGGGATTTAATACAAATATGCCATATACTTGGACGACACTAAATAGTGTGTGTGTGTGCGTGTGGAGTGTGTGTTGCACATTTGATTTTTAAATAGCAAACGGTCAGTTGGACAATCGCAGGCGCCGCAATTTCGTATTGCAACAGTCGCAATTTGCATATTAAACGCTGTGGCCAAATGTACCTGATGGATACATAGCGATGGCAGTGCTTAATATGCATGCGGCACAAACTGAAGGCTGAAGGCAACCGAAATCAATCGTCATCAGACAGCAGACACCAGACAACAGCAACAACAACAACAGCGAGATTATTTTACAATGCACTTGGACAATGTGAGTGGAATTCGCAATTACCTTTTGCACATAGATTGTCATCACGACGTGAGTGAGCCAAAAGATACACACACAGCTAAAGAAGAAGACATAGATAGTGAATCTGAATGTGACACTCGGTTTTAAGTGGCATTTGGCTGGCCTTCATCTAAACTGAGCGAACACGACTTCAATTTCGATTTGGGCCAAATCTAATAATATTTCTACCCCTTGGATTAGTACCAAAACTGCGCCTTAAATCTAGCCAAGAAAAATGGCTGGAAAAATCGCCGGATGCAATAAAATCATGGTAGAGTTTGTGCAACCACCCGTTGAGACGCACAAAATGGCTTATCCTTGCAACCAATTCCCAAGGCGAAGGTCCTGGCAGACAGGCGCCAAGAAGCTGCTGTCTCCCCCATCCTCAAAGGTCCTGCTTGCAAAAATCGATGAGATGTGCAGACGAGCGAGATTTGCACTTAGGGTGCGACCCCAAGGCATCTATAAAACAACGAAACAAAATGCGTTTCTTGACAACTTGGCCTTGAGCGCATAAATCGACGCCTCCCGTCCGGCCACGCCCCTTGTGGCTTAATTGGATGCTGTGCTGTGCTGTGCTGTTCGACAAGGGGTCGGTGCAAATGCCACATTCGCTTTGGGGTGTGTGCCACAATTTTAATAATGTTGCACACGTTAGTTAAATTAACGATGCGGCTGAAAACAGTAATTAGTAGTGCTAAAAGATATATGACCCAAAGTTCTTATTCTCCTCTATCTCTCTCTCTCTCTTTCTTTTTTACAGCTACTATGTGTGTCATTTGTAAAAGGCCATAAAAACATGTCTAGTTTTTATTTTTAGACAACGTCTAGAAAACCGCCAGAAACCGCTAAAATACACAAGACAGACGCAATTGTTTCGATTATGTTTTAACTTTTTGGGTAATTGTGCGCTTCACTCGAATTTTCAATGTCATGAAAACTTATCGAAAAAATGCCAAACAATAACAACATCAAGATTATTTACACAGCGCTCTAAATTTAAAACAACAACATACAACAACATACAACAACATACAACAACATACAACAGCTGCACTCCACACAACGGCATTGAGCATCGAGTGGTTTGGTTGGACAAAGAGAGCTAGAGAGAGAGAGAGAGAGAGAGAGAGAGAGAGAGAGAGAAGGAGACAGACGAACTGGCAGATAAATGGTGGCAAACAGCTGATAAAAAGATACAAATCGATAAGCATTACAAAAGATACATTAGCATGCACAAATTGAGGCAATAACAAATGGAAAAAATGCAGCACTTTTCATTTTATATATCAAAAATGCAGGTGTATTTATTTTTTCACATTCCTGACACTAATCAATAATTTAAATAGGTTGCACAGCTTCGCCTCACCCCCACCTCGCCTCTCGTCTAGTATAATTTGAAATGACAGGCGACTATTTATAGAGCCAGCGCGAAAGAGCGAAAGGGACACAAGAATGCTGTGTTGAGGGCGGCAGCGAACCAAATAAAAGTTCGCGCAGAGACGGAGGGGGAGAGGGAGAAAAAAAGAAACTCACCCAAAATAACGAGTGCTTTTTTTTTATTACACTAAAGTACAATTTTAGTTTAAAAATATTTTCAGCTTTTTGCATATGTGCAGGGGGCAGGTTGCAGGGTTTAACGGCGGCGGCGCATGCCTCAAATTTAATTAAAGTGAAAATTTTGTTCATAATAGTGTGTAAGAAACCAAAAAAACGAAGCGAAACAAAAACTGCAAAGAAAGTTTGTTGTTATTTTTTTAGTTGAGTGGCGCTTGGATTGGGGATTGAGGTTTGGATCGGCTTCACTTGGCCGACAAGCAGACAACGTGTCGTGGTTTGATTTTTTTTTGTTTTTAACTTATTTCTATTTTTAATGCAGGCCCGCTATTGACCTGCTTATTAGCCAAGCACCCACTCCCCGCACCAAGCCGCATCGGCTTAGGCTTAAGTCAGGCAATTTGCATTATAGCTAATAATATTTACGTGTTAAATTCGACGAGACGTATTTAACACGCTGCATGCACTTTCTATAAACGTTTTGCATGATATGTTAAATGGCATGCTTCCCTTGCTTCCCTCAATCAAACAAAATCAAACACTTCACGATCTCAATTTGCGTGTAAATTGTTTATGCAAATACTAAAAACGCTTATGGTCAAAAACAATAATTGGCCACTGTGGCTACCAACTTGGTGAGCTCTCAAACAATGCTCAGCAATTTAGTGTTTAAATTTATGGATAAAAGGAGGGGGTAAATGCCATTGGGTCCATCACAAGAAAGAAATGGTAAAGTTTAAAAAAGAAGTGAGAATGAATTGATTCGACTGAGCAGTATTCATAATTAGTGTTGCCACCTTTTGACGCCGGTCAAAAACAAAGTTCGACTTTGAAGTAACTAACAGAAATCATGTTTTTAAAACAGAAAACTATTATGAATGAAATAGTTTGAGTGAAAAGTATACACAACTAATATGTCTAACTCATGACGAAGTTCAACTTCGGAGAAACTAATTAAAATCACATTTTTAAAGCAGAAATTACTAAAATCGCAGATTGTATATGCTCAAAAACATAGTGTTGTCAAACACTGTCCAAACCAAATGAGGAATTGAGGCTGTAAAGCTTTCACACACATTACGAATGCAACTCAAATTCAAATTGCTCATATTTGTTCAAAGTTCTCGTCTTAAATCCGCAATGCAAATACATTTCGGGCAAACTGACAAACGGAACTATATTAAAAAAGAAAATAAAAGGATATTTATGCCAATAGCTGACGACGAGACTGTCTAGACATGCAATTTCAGCCTGGAGGAGAGCAGCCAGCAAAGCTGCTGCGACAGCATGTTTACCAGCTGCACACACGCACACACACACACGCACACCTATACACCCATATAACAACTATAGATAAAGAGAGTTTGGGGGTGTGCTGCTGCTGATGCTTGTCAGGGCGGTGCACAAAACTACCCCCGAAATCGCAATCGAAATTGCAAAACGAATAATACAAAAAAACTTACTTGATCGAATTGTAAAGCAGAAATATATTGTTTAGCACTTAAGTTCTTCATACTCCCTTCCCAAAAAATGAAACCGAATAAAGCGGCTGAAGCAGCAGTTTTATGCGTGGGGAGTGCGCAGCAGTGGGAAGAGGAGGAGGAAGGGAGAAGGGAGAGAGGTATTCAGGTAAAACGGGCGTGTCAGCAGCAGCAGTTGACTTAAAGCACAGCTGTGTGCCACCAAACGAAATGGCGACAGGAGGCCGTGGAAAAACAGTTAAGCAACAAAACAAATCTGTTGCCTGAAATGGACCCAAAAATAAATAAGAGAAGAAAAAAACAAACACACACACAAATATGTAGAATACAACAGTAACAAAACGAAGAATTCAAAAAGCTTGAGGCGCTCTCTCAGATGGCGAGCAGCAATTTACATAAAACGAGCAAAACCAGTTTTTAGTATTTTTTAAAAATATTTTTAAGTCGCGGCTAACAACGTTCTGTTGGTCAAATCAGAAACAGAGAGAGAGAGAGCGCGAGCTCGAGAGAGGAACAGAGAGAGAGGGGGAGCAAGCGAGCAACCGCGAGATGAAGAAAACGCTTACAACACGCTTGCACTTTAAGCTTTACACACGAGCAGAACAACAACTTAAATATGAGAGCTTTAATTTATGAGAGAGAAAATGGAAGACAACAAAATAAAAAAAAACAAGAACAAAAACTTACCCATAACTCAGTACCCCAACTCATTTTGTTGTTGGAGTTTGGCGCTGCTGCTGCTGCGTTTTCTGACTCTGCCAGTTTCTGCTGCTGCGCTGCCTGCTGCTGCTGCTTCTGCTAAATTGTATTTGATCCGTTTTGCCACACTGTTTTTGTTGTTGTTATTATTGTTGTTGGAGAGCATACAAAAAAAGAAACATACACAAAAGTAAAAAACTGAGAATTTTGTTTCGTTTTACGTTGTGAACAAACAACGATAATAAACAGAATGAAAAACAGAGTAATTTCCAATAGCTGCGTTCACATTAAAAGCACAGGTAAAATGCAGACGTGTACCAAAGTCAGCACTGCCGCACCGACGCCGGCAGCGGCAGGTAGAAAACTCAAAATGGTTAAGGAATTTGGAACGAGGAATGGGAAACAGGAACGGGTGCGATTATAGGGACAATTGCCAATTGCTGGCAGCAAGCAAGCAGCAAGCAGAAAATAAAACCGGCCGCCGTCGCTGCTGACGTCAAGAAAATTTTTAATGCACTGGCATTCGTTGCAGGCCCGCGTGATGGATAGAGATAGAGATGGAGAGAGCGAGCGAACGAGAGTAAAGATTTGAGAGAGCGCAGCGTGGCTGCATTTCGTAATTGAGAGAGCGGGAGAGAGCAAATGAGTGAGAGAGCAAAACGCAATTGGCAATTGGAATTTTATAAGCAATCATTTATTTATGGCTGTCAAATATATTTAAACGCATTTCGCAGTCGCCTTTAATTGAATTCGACATTAGTTTTAATTTCCAATTTAAACGCTGGCAAACAACGCAATGCAACAACAACAACAAAAAACATCTAAGCGACGCCAGGCCAAACAATAGGCAAATTTGCCTATTGTTGTCTTTTTTACATAATTTCGCACACACATACACAAGCAGAGGCACACATACACGTACACACACACGCTCTCACACACAGCAACGAACATAGGCGAGTGCACGCACTCTGCTTCTTCCACACTGCGCTGCTGGTTTTCTTTTTAACTTTGTACCACTAAAGTGCAACGCTTTTAATATATCGATATTGTGGCCGCTGTTCAAATGTCGCACAATATTTTATCGCATTAATATGCGCTTGCACTTAGTATGCGTCATAATTTAGGCGACATTTGCACACACACAGTCACTCACACACACAAACACAAGTTTATTGTTTTTTTTTGTGCGAAAATAAACGGCATGCGGACCATGCGTATCTTTACCTTCGGCGATTCGTTTGCAACTAAAACAATGCTAATCAGTGTGACCGCAGCGCACTTCGTGGAAAATACGCACAAGGGTCGTAAAAACACTTTTAAATATACCAGACAATCTGGTAACCGATATTATGAGTATTCGATAGACAAGTCACGACTAAAAGTATCGCTTTCATGATGAAGACCGTTCAGTTATTTTCAAATTGCAATTCAGTTCAGTTACTTTCAATTGTAAATAAAAATCGCATAACATTTTGTAACAATTACGTATAATTTATTGATTTAATAAAAAATTAAATAGCTGCCATTCGATTAGCATTTGTTATTCGTTAAATCGAGTGCAAATAAATTCCTGTAGCATTAAATTATATACAGTAATAACAATTACTCCAAAAGATTCATTCATTTAAAATCGGTTTGCTTAACAAGATATATGTTTTAATATATATATATATGTGTATATATATATATATATGTGTATATATATATATATGTATATATCATGTACAGTCATTGGACATTGTTTCTACAGAAATTAATGCAATTTTTGCCAGAAAGTATTTTTCGATTCGAGACTTATTCGAGACGTATTGGGAAATATATACGAGTTAGTTACAATTAAGGCTAAGAACTTAAAACACGGCTCGACGACGACAATACTAAAAAATCCAACTAAAATACATTGTGCCCCATCGTATCATCCATCCAGCTGCAGCCAGTTAACTAAGCCGTCGTTGTCTGCAGCAGCAGCTCGGCGGCCATTTCGAGACTCCATCCGGTCTGTTGGAGCGCCTGCTCGCATTGGGGTCGCCCTGCGACTCCGAGACGGGTGAGCTGATCGATCTTGTAGTGGCGCAGGGCGAGCTGCACATCGCCGCTGGCGGCACGCAGCGCATTGCGCACATCCTGCTCGACGGCCGAGCTGCCCAGTTCGCCGAGCAGCTGTTGCAGTTTCTCCTGCTCGCGTGACGCCTCCGCCGGCACCGGTGCATACAGCTGATGGGCGCCCTCCAACTGTTGCTGTTGCTGCTGGCGCATCTTGTCCAGCCGTCGCTGGATTTGCTGCGCCGACAACGGTGGCGGCGCCAACGGTGCCAACGGGGCCGGTCGATGTGGACGCAGATAATCATCGAAGGTGACCTCATCGTAAATGGCCGCATTGCCATTGGGCACCTGGCCATAGTACGTGGAACCGGCCACAGGATCATAGCGTTCCCCAGCAGTTGCCACACTGCCGTAGAGCGACGCGGACGAGGCATAAACGTTGCTCTTGGGCGCCACCACACGATTCGAGATGGCGACAAACGAATGATGCGTTTCCGGCTGATGCTGTTGGTGATTCTGGTAGAGTTGCTCGCTCGGCTGCTCGACTGCCGGTGGTTGGGCATAGTAGTCCGAGGGGGCAGCTGCCACCCGCTCGTACCAGATGCGATTCACGAGACTCTGTGTGGCATTTGTGGCAACTGTAGCTGCTGCTGCGGCTGCTGCTGCCGCTTCCACATTGTTCTGCTTGGGCGTGGGCGATGCCTGGCTGGCATTCGATGTGGGACTGGAGTGGTTCGAGTGATTGCCATTTTTCAACGGCGTTAGATTCTGTTTGTAGACCATGTCCTTGCTGGCGTACATCTGTGCGCTGTTGCGCTGATAATCCTCGTGCGCTTTATTGCTGCCACTCCACATATCCTTCTCCAGCTCAGCTATAAACGACTTGTCCAGCAACACACTCTCCGCACTCGCCGCCTGCTGCTGCGGCACACTTGAAGTTGCTGTTGTCGTCGTCGACGACGAAAGATTCATTGTGCTGATCTCTTGTCGCTCCAGCGAGAGATTGCTCAGATTGTACTGAATGGCAGCGGACTCCAGAGCGGGTATATTCTCCTTGTTGGCATGCCCATTGGCCAGCGAATCGATGCTGCTGCTGCTCGGACCAAAGAGGCTCTTGCGCGCAGCAGGACTGCCATAAATGGGCGCAGCAGTCGCATTCGAGTAGAGTATTAAAGCACCTGCGTTGCCATCCAGACTGCTCGTGTCGAACGGATCTCGGCTGGGTGTCTGTGGAGTGTCTCGCTTCTGCTGCTGCTGGACAAATTCCATTGTGTTGGAATAGGTGGGCGGCATTTGATAGGGCGGAGGCTGCAGACGTGCCGGAGAGATTCCTGCTCCTGCTCCGGATGCACCTGTCGACTCAAAGTCAAATTGCGGCTGCTCGTTGAAGTAGGTGGGCGTATTGGGGCCCGAGGAGTAGGCAGCACCAGCTGCCGCAGCGGCAGCATCATTAAAAGTGGGCACATCAATGGGCGCATCCAGCAGGCAGAAGGAGCTGTCCAGTTGCAGCGAGGAGCTGTCGCCGGCACTCATCAGTGCGGCTGCTGCATTGGGTCGCATCTCTGGCGAGATGTCAATTAGGATGCCCTCCTCCTGCTGCTGCTGCTGTTGCTTCCGTTGATTTGGCGGCGGTGGTCGTTGTGGTCCCGCCAGATTCTTCTGCTTGATGGCATTGCGTCGATGCAGGCCACTGGAATCGTTGGTCAGCTTGTTGTAAGCAAACTGTTTGCTGGACGTCGACTTGCGCTCCTTGGCATGCGCCGTCGCCTGTGACGTCAGCGAGGCGCACTTGCGTTGCCGCTCCGCAGAGCCGGGCGCCCAGCAGAAGCCAAAGGATGAAGAGTGACGCAGTTGGGCATCGCCTTGGCGTTGCTGCTCCACGATGGCACGCGGAAAGATGCCAATGTCGTAGGTGCGCTGATTCTGGCCCTTGATCAGCTTCAGCTCGGTGCGGCCATCGATGATGGCAATGGTGTCGCCCGTCTCGATTTGCAGCCCCTTCGCGTCGTGATAGCTGCGCGAGGCGCGCATCACTGGCGGCGTCATGCTCGCCAGGTATTCCCTGCAAGAAAAAGTGGTATACAATTAGCTAAAGATTCCCATAGAAGGAGCGGAAGGAGCAGGAATTGCTTACTTGAGTGCTGCGAATGTGGGTCGCTCTGCGGGCGTTTTGTCCCAGCACTGGAGCATCATGGCATACACATCGGGTGGACAGGCGTCCGGCTGATGCAGTCGCTCACCCTCGCGATCAATTTTGCGCAAGATCTGCGAACCGTTGAGGCCCACCCAGGGATCCTCGCCAAAGCTGAACATCTCCCAGAGGGTGACGCCAAACATCCAGGTGTCCGAGGCATGGGAGAATTGGCGAAAGCGCAGCGATTCGGGCGCACACCAGGGAAACGGCACCTTCTTGTGCTCGGACATCACATAGCAATCATCCTCCTGGGGCAGGGCACGCATCAGGCCAAAGTCACCGATCTTTATATTGTTGCCAGCGGCGAGCAGCACATTGCGGCAGGCGAGATCGCGATGCAGAAAACGTTTCTGCTCCAGGTAGGCCATGCCCGTCACAATCTGAACGGACCAGTTCCAGATGTGGGTCAGCGATGTGTGGCGACACTGTTTGCGCAGCGTGTCTAGCAGCGAACCACGCTCCGCCAGCTCTGTGATCATCATCATGGGCTGGGACAGCACCACGCCATACAGCCGCACCAGATTCGAGTGGTCCAAGGCGTGCATGGCCTGCACCTCGCGAAAGAAGTCATCGATGATGCCCGGCTGCGTCAGATTGTCCGACTTGAGCACCTTGACGGCCACCGGAAGCACCTTGCCCGCCGGCGAGGCACTCCACTCGCCGCGTCGCACCACTCCAAAGGAGCCATCGCCCAGCTTCAGGCCCAGCGTGATGTCCTTCTCGTGGATGAGGCACGTCAATGCACCTGGCTGTGGATGTTGTTGCTGCTGTTGCAGCTGCTTCTTGGACGAAGGCTGCTTGCCGCCGCCAATCAGCTTGGAGAGTATATTCTTGCGCCACTGATGCGCCTTCTTCTTGCGCACCGCCTCCATCAGCCGCCGGATGGCGGGCTTGCCCAGTCCACAGCGCTCCAAATCATCGGAGAGGACATAGTCGAAGTGAGCCAATCGCGTCACCTGCAGATCATCCCTAATGCGCTCCAGAAACTGTTCCAGCTGCACCTCGCGCAGCAGTTCCTCCAGCCAAACGGTATCGCCAGCGCCTCCATCGCCGCCAGCTGGTGAGCCCATTGTTAGTCCACGGACCGCAGCACCTGCAAACGAGGAGAAGTAAATCTGATGAAAAATGTTTCAAACAAAAATACATCAAATTGTAAACAAATTTCTGAGGTTATTTTTATACATCCATATTGATGTGTCATTTTATTCAAATTATTCTCAAGATTCACTTTTCATATTGTTTTCAGTTTTTTCTGCGAGTGCATTTCAAATATGTAACTTTTCACAATTTGTTGACATGGTTTTTGTTTGTGTTTTTCACAACAACAAAAAAAAAGTGAGATTGCCTGCAACATCAATGTTTGCTGCTTTTGTGGCACTTCCCACGCTCAGCGCCAGACAATTTGAGAAAAGAGTTTGAATGCCGGTCACGTCATTTACACTGCTACATTTTTCATAGTAGAAACCACGAATCATCGTGTCTCGCACATGTTCGCAGCGAGTTCGAGTTCGCCGTCAAACTTGTTGGATTGGGCATAGTTTTGGCAACGCGAACTTGAACCCAAAGCGAAGTCAATGCATAATTGGCATAGGAACAACTGTGTTAGTGAAAGTACCGTATGGCCACTTATGGGCAGCATATAAAAATTAAAATGGACGACACGGCGATGTCGTTGCTTCATAATCAATAATAGCATTACGTCAGTTACAAACGGTGACTGCAAAGTCGGCGGCTACTGCGACTGCGCTGTTGCAGTCGCTGCCTGCAAGTGGGCCACGCAATGCTTGTGTATGTGTGTGTGAGAAAAAGAGACAGAGAATGTTATTTTAAGAGAGCGCAGCTGCAACCGCAATAGCAGTTGTGACGTCAGCGTCAACTTCATTGGGTATGCAAAGAATGCTTGGCGCGTGCCAAAGTTGAAATTATTGGCGATAAGGGAACGAAGAGGCTGCTCTTCTTGTTCTTGTTGTTGCTGGGTTATACGAGTGCAAAAATGAGCACAGCTTATATTATTAGAGATTGACTCAAGATAAATTCAAGCGATGAGCTTTACACAAAGCTTCAACTAATAATAACGTTTATCGCACAAAACGCTCTCTCCATCTCTCTCTCTATCTATCTACCTCTCTCTCTCTCTCTCTCGCTGGGGACTATTTAACAATTACATAGGCGGAAACAATTAACTAGCTTTGTGTGGCGAATGTGGAACGAAAAAATAAGAAGAAAAACACTCCCCTCTAAGCGGATTGCTTCAAACAACCAAACTAATCAAATGCTTTCGGGTGACGATCAACCACCAAACAAAATTTAATCATTTACAATTGTTTGACAAATGTTCGAAAAAATACAGACAGTTGTGCAAATCCCAATGAGAAATGAGATAGGATTGATAGTCAGTGAGTGATATGTGTACGTCTAGCAGATACTGTGTATTTCAGACTGAGCTATTTTCATAATTATCAGTTTCAATGTACAGATTCAAGTGCTCGTTTAGTAGATACTTATTATTTCAGACTGAGCTATAACAATATTTTGGAGTCTTCCAAAGCAAAGGCTTAATTCCTGTTTAACCCTTTTCATGGCATTTCTAATTTATACAGCGTATACAAAAGAAGCAGAAGAAGCAGCGCATATAGAACACTTACCGCGGCGGGCTTGTGGCAAAAATGGGTTTTGGTTTTCGGGAACAGCTGCAGCTGCAAAGCTGACCGAATAAAGTCACACACTGTGGCTCAGCGAAGCGTTGTCGCTTCCGTTGTTGTTGTTGTTGTTGTCGTCGTCGTCGTTGTTATTGTTGTTGGTCGGCTGCTGCACTTTGCGAAACTTCCTGTGTCTTGCTGGTGAACAGGTTGTGAAGATGAAACTGAAACTCAATATGTTTGTGGCTGGGCAACAGCAGCAGCAAAAGCAGCCAAAGCAGCAAAAGCAGCCAAAGCAGCAAAAGCAGCGTAATCAGCAGCAGCAGTAGCAGCAAGCGCAAGCAAGGTGAAGGACGTCGGCGTCAACGTTTTTATTTTTATCTTGTATTGTGTTCGTTTCTCTTATGGCTGCCTGTGTATTTGTGTGCGTGTGCGAATTGCGTATGCGTGAGTGTGTCTGCTGCTTTGTTTACACTCGCTGGCAGAGCAGATGGCTGTGTTGTTGTTGTTGCTGTTGCAGATGGATGGCATGGAAATTGGCCATCATCGTCGGCACAATAGGCGAATGGTGGAGGCAGGCGGAGTCCGCTTAATATTAATTTAACTGTTGCTGCCAGGCACCCCACAGCAAACACTGCAAATACAGCAAATACAACTACAACTCACAACTACAAATAAAAATACTGCCGCTGCTGCTGTCGTCACAGTTTTTTGCACAAATTTTTCCACAATTTGTACCCCTTCGTTTGTTGTATCTTGTTGTTGTTGTTTGTGTGCGTGCCAGCATTTATTTGTGTGTTACATATTCCTCACATAAGCTTTGTGTAATTTCGCATAAATTAAACAAAAATTAACTTTTTCATGGAAATGCGCGCACGAAAGACACCACAAAAAAAAGGATGGCGAAAATGAGAAACAACGTTGCTTCAGCAACTGCGACGCGACTTTGACTACGACTGCGGACTGCACACGAAGCTTTTATTCGAATCACGTTTACGCCTTGCTGTTGTTATTGTTGTTGTTGCTGTTTAACAACAAGCAGCAAACAACAAAACGAAGCGCGAGGCTTAATTATATTTTTAAAAAATAAATAACAATTTAGCTGGCGAAACCCGTACGACGCAACTGATTTTTAGGGATGTTGAACCATTACTACACGCCAGTGTGCCCAGTTCTTCACACAACAAATATACTCCACTTTCATCGCATTCGAAAAATACTATCGATAGTAGCAAGTGATCCAGCTGCGGTTACACTGCGTATATCTTGTCATCGCTTCGTAGTGAATGGCAATTGTTGCTACACGTGCAGCAATTTTGATATAATTTCGAGTGCGTTTTGTTTAATGCCAAAGTTGCTTTAAATTTACGAAAAATATGTCGGCAGCTGTTGCGACAGGTGTGCAAATCAATGGCCCATTGAAAAATAAAAAGATCGTCTTCAATGATGATGGCGAAGCGCTGACAAAGCCCAACAAACAGAAGCACAACAAAAAGGCTCCAATACAAAAGCAACAAAATGGTAAAACATCTCTAAATGGCCGGGAACAGGTGAAAAAGCCGCAAAGAATTAAATTTGGAGACGATGGCGATGTGGAGGAAGTGACCAGCAGTAAGTCCGCACCCAAAGTGGAGCCGGCGAAGAAAGGCAACCAGTTGCTGGTCGACGCCGCTGGAAAAGTGAAAAAACCGCAGCGCATAAAATTCGACGAGGATGGCGCTAAAAAGGAGCTAGCAACGGAAAGCGACAAGGACAGCGACGACGAGGATGCTGTGGACAATGACAATTCATGGAAGTCCAAGAAACCCAATAAATATCAGTCGCACACAGAGGACGATGATGCCCAGAAGAAATGGTATCAAGTGGTAAAAGTTTATGCTTAATCCGATTGATATATGGATATTTATGAAGCTATTATTACTATTTTCTACAGCACACGGAATACCCGAGCAGCGATGAGCTGCTGGACATGAAGGAAAACGAGCAACTTGAGCTGTTCAATCTGTGCAAAGCCTCCTTCGAAACGGAGAAGTCAACTTTCAATAAGCGTGGGTTTTTATCAAGTTAAATTCATGATAAATTGATTAATTTCTTACATCCTCCACAGGCAATCCCACTGATGCACGCTGGTTGCAGACGGCACTGCATAAGGGCACAGCCAAGGATCGTGCCAATGCGGGCGCTCTGCTGGTGACCAGCAATCCGCTGGGCAATTTGGAGGCATTGTCCAATTTGATTGGCTTCTGCAAGCTATCGAACAAGAGCAGCAACGATGTAATCGCAGTGCTGACGGATCTGTGGCAGGAGGTGCTGTTGCCGCCACAGCGCAAACTGTTGGCCATCCATACGCGTGGCGCCGACTGGAAACTGTTGCGCAAGCAGGAGCTGCACAAGGATCAGACGCGTCGCATCTACGCCTATTGGTACTTTGAGAACGAGCTGAAGGATCAGTATCACGAGTACCTCAAGAATCTGATGCAGGGCCTGCAGACGGGACAGGAGCACAACAAGACCGCTGCCATTGTGGCCGCTGCCAAGCTGTTGGCCTACGCGCCCGAAAAGGAGCAAATGCTGCTGACAATGCTGATCAATAAACTGGGTGATCCCATACCCAAGATTGCGTCGAAGGCGCTGCATCATCTGAGCGAGGTCACTCAACGGCATCCCAATATGTGCGGCGTCATTGTGGCCGAGGCCGAAAAGCTCCTGTTCCGCAACAACATCTCGGAGCGTGCCCAGCACTTTGCTCTCTGCTTCCTCTCGAACATCGCGCCATCGGGTCGTCCCGAGGTGTGCACCAAGTTGGTCAACATCTGCTTTGCGCTCTTCAAGGTGCTCGTCCAGAAGGGCGCCGTCAACAATCGCACAATGCAAGCGATCCTCCGCTGTCTGCAGAAGGCCATTTTGGAGGCACAGCCAGCGAAGGGCAACAGCGAACTGCTGACCAAGGAGATGCAGGACACCATCTATCGTCTGGTGCATCTGGCCGATATACGTGTCTCGGTGCAAACGCTGGGACTGCTCCTCCAGCTGGTCACCGTCAAAACGGAGAAATCGGATCGTTTCTACAACGCTCTGTATATCAAATTGCTGGACCTGAATCTGATCAATATTGGCAGCAAGACGGCAGCCCAATTGCTGCACATTGTGCATCGGGCCATTCACATTGACAAGCATGTGGCTCGCGCCCAGGCCTTTGTGAAGCGACTGCTCCAACTGGCGCTCTATGCACCGCCCCACATGTCCGCCGGTTGCCTGATTGTGCTGCACAAGCTGCTGCGCATGAAACGGGAACTCGTCGCTGGCATTGGTGATGTGGAAATGGCTGAGAGTGCGAGGCAATTGTTGCCTGCTGCTGCCGCTGAGGATCTCGACAAATTTGGCAGCGATAGCGAGGAGATCTACAAGGATGCGGATGCCGAACAGACTGATACTGTGTTAAAGCAGGAAGAGAATGATAAAAAGCCGTCCAGCAGCAGCAGCAGCTCCTGGCATCATGTCAATCTGATGGCCAGCGACTCGAAGGTGCGCAACATTGATGCCTGCAAATATGATCCGTATCATCGGGTTCCCGCATTTGCTGGCGCTGGCTATGCCCTGCGCAATGAGCTACTCCTCCTGCGTCAACACTACCATCCCACTGTGCAGGTCTTTGCCGAACAGATATTGCTGGGTGAGTAGCTGTACTCCACTCCATGGATTCTAAATGCAACTGATTTGTGTATCTATCTTTTAGAGAAGCGCATCGATTACTATGGCGATCCGTTGCGAGACTTTGCACTGCCGCACTTCTTGGAGCGTTTCGCCTTCAAGAATCCCAAGAAGCTCGACCATCAGCAGGCTGTGGAAGCGTCGCACAGGAAATACACGTCATTTGGGGCACGTGGCAAGCCGGTTAAATCGCTGACGAAAACCACATGCACAGAGGATGAAATGTTTATATTCAATTATCTGGAGCATAAGCGCAAACAAGCCGATCTGATGGAGCAGACCAAGAAGGAGCCACAGCCCAAAGTTGAGGAGGAGACGCCAGAAGCGGCTGATGTTGATGATCTGAAAGAGGGCGAAGTGGATGATGATGAGTTCGAGTCCTATTTGGATGGCTTCTTTGGCAAGAAGCTCAAGGAAGGCAGCGATGGGGAGCAGGACGAGGACGAACTAAACTTCCTGGAGGAGCTGGGCGGTGAGCTGCAGGCGGACAAGGCCAAGAAGAAGCAAAAGAAGAAGAAACAAGAAACGGAAGGGGATGATATGGAAGACATCGATGACGATTGGGGCAATGATGATGCCGAGGAAGAGGATGCCGATGAGCAATCCGATGCAGAGGCAGAGGATCAGTCCGATGACGAGACGGGCTCAATTGATTTGCAGCCTTTGGATGAAATGGAAGACGATGACGATGATGATGATGAGGAAGGTGCTATACCGATGGGTGTTGACAGTGACTTAAGCGATGCGCCCGAAAGTCCTGACGAGGACGAAGATGACGACGAGGATGCGCCCAAGTCAAAGAAGTCACGCAAAAACGCCATCATGGACGAGCGAGGCTTTGCTCAGAAACTAAAGCACAGCAACGGTGCGTATGAGTTATTTCTGTTCCTTTTTAGATTTGTACTTAATTCATGTGTGATCTTTAGATATGAGCTCGCTGTTTGCGGCTGCAGATGACTTCTCCGCCTTGTTGGAGGAAACGGGCAAGTCCAAAGGACAAGGCACCAGCAATGCCCTCTTCAACAAGGACAAATCATCCGACAAGCAACTGAAATGGGAGGAGAAGCGTCGCTCGAATAGCAAAAACTATACAAGCAAAAAGTTTGGAGGAGCCAAACCCAAATTGGGCAAGAAACGAAAGCATTAACTGGGCTTGGAGAAGTCGAGACTTGTTTTTTTGTTTCTAAATATATGTAGAAGTCGAGTTGTGCTTATGAATTGTGTAAATAAATAACACAAATAAATATATGATATACACTATGTCGATAAACAATTCTCGACCCATTTGAATAAATTAATTATAGCAAGTTTGATTTTATTTGAAATGTTTTATTTTAACTATATATGTAAATGTATATTTACAAACTTTGGTGACTTACAGTTAGCAAATAAATGTTTCTTCATCTTTTTTATTCTTCATTTGTACAGCTAAAAACAACGCCTCGAAATTGATGCCATAATTTCATAATTCCATTGGGCGCTTTATATGTACATAATTATGTATTAATTATACATCGATTAAAATACGATATTATTTGCGATTTGATTGTTGAGCTTAACTTGTATCTGTTTAGTTGGAGTCGTCGCCTTATTTTGCTGTTGTTGTGTCTGTGTTTGCTTAAACATTTCTTATATTCTATTGGAACCCTAGAGACTATTGCTTAGTTTGTAAAAACTCTCATTTTAATAATAATCGAAATGCTTGGCTCGTAATATTTAACCCAGCATATTTTCTATTTTGGCTTCCTTTTAATGGTAATTCATATGTTCTATGTTTTTTCTTCCTTCATTTTTTGGAGTTTTGGTTTAACATTTTCATAGTTTGTTTTTTTTTTTCTAAGGCAACTCGTTTAAAGGCAACTTTAATATTTTATTAAAGTCATTTCGCTTTACAATAAACAATTTTGGGATCATGAGCACTGCTTCTTTCTCTCTTTTTTACAAAATCCGGATATGTTTTTTGTGTATGTGTCTTGTTGGGGTTAGTAAATGAAATAAAAAAGAAAATAATATAAAAAATGTATTGTTTATGTTATTAAGCATTTCAGTTTATTTCAATTCAATTCATACAGATGATAAACGCTTTCAATTCTTATCGATTAAAGTTTCAATTTTTCATTTGGCTAACAAAACAAAACCTATAAAAAACATATAAAGAAAACATAAGTTAACAATTGCAAAACTAAAAAAATATGCATCTACTCATAAATAGGAGATTTTTACATATTTAAATTAAAGCGAAATTTAAATATTGTGAAATCAAAAAAGTTGCAAAATAATAATTTTCAATTTTCTTGTGTTGGACAAATGCCGAGAATGAATGAAAAAATTGAAGAAGAAAAACTATAAGTGCATATTTCAAAACAATTCAATATTAAATAATAAGTGTGTTATACTTGTTATGGAGGTTTTCTGCTTAACTAGTAATTATAAACTTAACATAGACCACAACTTAATGTGTATTCTTAATTTATATACACATAAATATGTATATTTATTTATATATATATGTGCACATGTGCATATAGTATGAGACTAACAATATGTATGCGTTTAATTTTCCACTTCGCTTACTAGCTTAATTAACTATCTTTGCACTAAACTAGTTTCCAAGTTTTTGTATGCATTTCTCTGGTTTTTTTCTTGTGATTCTTTTTAAAAATGTACAAAAAAAAATAGAACAGATTTACATTTAATTTAAGCATTAAGATTTGTAGTTTCTTGACTTTTTACATTAACAACGTAAACAATTAACTAATCCAACTATTAAACTTTTGTGTGTCGGGTGTTGTGGGTGTTTGTGTGTGATATATATATATATATATTTATTTATATTCCAATAATTAATCAAAAAATCAAAGTCCACTTAAGCATAAACTTAGCACGATAAAAATTTATAAATCTCTACCGACAGGATCTTTGGTGCTGCTCAATGATCCGTTAGACCCACCTCTGTGTCCACATCAACCATACATCTAAACATGTATCGTTAATGTATCTGTGTGTGTTTGTGTCTGTGTTTCCCCTTGTGTGTCCTTGTGTCTGTTTATTGAATTCTTGCCGTTACGAAGCGCGCTTGCATCCGTCGTCCGTCCAGCGTCTTCACGTTCAAAGTCATCGTCATTTCACTTATCGGTCGACAGCTGCGCCGCTGCAACAGTTGCCAACGCCGTTGACGCGCCAGTCGCACTCGACTCGCCCCGAGAATGGAAAGCAATATTCGCTGCTCCTCGGCTTCCATGTCGGCACGTGTCGCAGCAGAGGTTTGGCCACGCAGCCGCCTTCGTCAGTCGAAAATATACCGTTGACGCAGGGCACGCGCTCTCTCCGGCTGCACACGTGTCGGCAGGCTCGGCACCTTGGGCGGCCGCTTGGGGGCACGCTTCGATGGTGGCTTTGGTCGCGGGAATATGAGTTGCTTCTCGTACGCCTCGTCGATAGGCTCCTTTTTGACGTTGGGTGAGCAGTAGACGCGTCGCTCCTTCTTGAAGCGCTGCTTGAGCACCTTCTGGACGCCGTTGATCAGCAGACAGAAGTGACGCCAGCTGGCATTCGATTTGCGCAAAGCACCCAACGATTTGGCAAAGCCACAGAAATTCTCGAGGGAACGCGGCGTGACGCGATTTCTACTGGCCGTAGGCAGCAGCGGCAACACATTGACCAGTGGCGGCATCGGATGGTGCATGGGTGGTATCTGCTTCATCAGCAAATAGAGAGCCGCCTTTGAGTCCTCCTGCTCGGGCGGCATTTCGGTGGTGGTTTCGCACAGTTCCGTGCGGCGTTGTTGTCGCGTCCGTGGACGCCCTGCTGCTGCTGCAGGAGGCGCCCGTTGAGGAGGAGGAGGAGGTACAGCGGGTGGCGGCATTGGATTGTTTATGTGGATAGCATCTTCGTGCCTGATCAGATCTAGATCTTCATCGTAATGCAGGCCGGACACACCCAATATCAGCGTGTCCTCGTCGAAGCCATAGAAATCAGGCTCCTCAAAGTCATCCTCAAACATGCCATGCACAACTATGCCCTCGTCCCCGTTGGCCGTTGCATCAGCAGCCTGCTGCAGATCAGAGTGAGCCGTCAGTTGCTCTATGGAGTCGTCCCGCAGGTCGATGATATCCTGCTGATCGTGCGACGGAACCATGTCCACATCGTTAATATCTTTCAGCCAGTTACTTTTGAGGATATCATTTATTGTGGGCCGTTGAGTCGGATCCTTTTGCAGGCACCAGTTGACCAGCTGCCTGTACTCCGTACTTGCATTCAACCAGCACTCGGAGCGTTGATTGAACGACTCGTTGGCTATGCGTTTGCGCAGCGTATGATGCACCTCGGGACTATGCTCGGAGTCGCCCTGATAGAGGCGATAGGGCGCATGACCCACGATCATTCTGTAGAGCGTCGCGCCGAGGCCGTAAATATCGACAGCCGGCGAATATGTAACCACATTGGCATCCTTCAACAGCTCTGGCGCGGCATAATCCAGAGTGTAGCGCGGCTTATCCCTCCAGCTCTCGAAGCGCTTATTGTAGCTGTAAAGAATCAAGTGTGAGTATTTATATGGATCTGTAGCTAGTTGGTCGTTGCACTGTTAATCTCACCAGGAACTGCCAAAGTCCACCAGCTTGCAATGCATGGCATCGCGGGTAACAAACACTATATTCTCGGGTTTGATGTCGCCGTGTATAAAGTGTTTGGCGTGCACATGTTGCACAGCTCGTACCAGCTGCAGAAATACGACACGGGCGAGATGCTCCTCCAGACGCTTTCGCCGCAAATAGTTGGTAAGCTCCTCGCCGACCAGATACTCTGCGAGTACCCACACCTCGCACTTATCCCGGAACGCGCCATGATAGCTCACAATGTTCCTGTGACCGTTCATGTCTAAGGCACACGATGTGAGTGCATCGACTTCGGATGCCCGGAACTTCGACAGCGGGATAACCTTGGCCATGAACACAATGTCCGTGGAGTCCGTGATAAAGTAACAAGTGCCATAGGCACCTTTCACTGTGCGTGTGCCCAGCTGCAGATCATCGGGTCGTGTGGGTATGTTCTGCAAAGCAATGCAATTAGTTGAGATTGACGGAACTTAAGCATATAAGCGGAAAAACACTCACCTCCAGATTGGGATTGCAATACTCAATCTGGCAGTGGTTATCGCGTCGCATTTGCTCCAAATGCTGGGGCGCCACATATGTATAGCCGCGAAAGAGTCGGATGCGTGAGGGCGGCGCTTCACATTCGAGATCCTCGGGCAGCTGATCGGTGAACTCGTTGCTAAAGTTTTGCACGTCGTCCTCGGCATTGATGGTTGGCTTGTAGGGCGCTTTGTGTCGCTTCGCTTGTAGCTCCGTCCAGTTGATGCCAGCAAAAAAGGGGTGTTCCTTGATCTCGCTGGCATCGCGATGATTGCCGCCGAGTCGACGCTTCGGATTCTTTTCCAGCATCTTGAGCACAAAGTCACGTGCGTTCGGGCTAAACGATGATGGTATTAACGGCTGCTCCTTTTGTATGCGTCGCGAGATCTCTGATTGCTGACTCTGACCATCCGAGGTGGCAAATGGTGAGGCGCCCGTCAGCAACTCAAACGTCAAGACGCCCACCGACCACCAATCTACGGCACTGTCATGCCCCGGCGGTCCGGTCCGTATAATCTCCGGCGCCATATACTCCAGTGTGCCGCAGAAACTATGCGCACGATATTCATTCTCGGCGGTGAGTATCTTGGACAGTCCAAAATCGGAGAGTACAATGTGTCCGGCGCCATCCAGCAGAATGTTCTCCAGCTTAATGTCACGATATATGATGCCCAGCTGATGCAGCTGCTCCAGTGCCAGCACCACCTCAGCTATATAAGAGCGCACACGCGACTCCTCAAAATGCTCGGCATGGTAGAGATGCGTGAACAGCTCCCCGCCATTGGCAAAGTCTACAAAAAGCAAAATATTTCCGGTTAAATCAATTGTGCTGGTAATTTGTGAATCATTGTGATCTTACCCAGCACTAAATAAAGCTTCGATGATGACTGAAAAGCGTAGTGTAAACCGACCAGGAATGGACTCCGCTGCACCGCTTCAAGTACCTGGAAGGAAAGTCCAACTCGTTATTAATTGTTCATTAAATATAATATGCTTTTAATGAGTGCATTGTATTGAGCGCTTGCTGTTACATTTTTATTTATTTATTTCTTCTAAGCAACAGTTGCAAGTCGATAAGAAGTCGAACTTCTCCCGCCTATCGATTATTTTGCTGATGACTTTTGGCACTTTGCTTTGCCGCTTGTTTTTGTGTTATCTTTGCGTTCATTATTTACTTTTCTTGTTTTTATTATTATTTTCTTTCCCTGGAAGTGCAATTGTAATCTAACAAATATAGCGCAAATGAGTTACTAAGAAAACCTATAAAAACATGTGCATATTTATAGTAAATCTACTTTGATCTGCGTGTGAAAGTGAAAACATATTTCTGTATATTTTAATTTCATTTTGCGATTATTTGCTTCATATCTCTCTTTTTTTTCTATTTATTTTTATTTTTTGGTTTTGCTTTTGCTCGCATAGACAATTGTCAAGCATCTTTTCTTGCAAAGCGAAACTTTCACATTTCACGAATTTATTCCTTTCCATTTTTGGCAGAAACAAAAAATAATAACAACAAAGCACACAACGCAGGGCGGACTGCGCGCAAGCGGGAATTTTATATACACAATTATAGCCGGTATATCCACCACCTCTCCTCCCCCGCCCTGTTCCCTTTCCACATCTCACACAGCAACATATTATGTTGCAATCTGGGTTACTGGCACAAGCGTCATAGTCATCGTTGTTTATGTACCTTGAACAACAGCACTGTAAGTGCGTGTGCGTCTGCGTGTGCCAGTGTGTGTGTGCGTGTGTGTGTGACAAAGACAACGCACTGTTTAAGTTATGAATTATCCGCTAAAAAGTGCCCTTGTTATTTGTTACTCTCACTCACTTCTCTTCCACCAAGCAAGCTACACCTGTGTTTGCAGTTATTTAACCAAGATTTTCAATTTGCTTTACTATTTCCAATGCCGCAAACCGGTCGTAAATTGCACACACATACACACATACTTAACAGATCGGCTAACTCTCTTTTGGCTCTCTCTCTCTCTCTTTCCCGCTCTCGGTCCCTCTCTTTGTCCGTCTATCCCTCTTCCGCACCCACTATATTCGTTAGCTTTTTGCCGGTGCAACATGTTAAGCGGTGAGCATATTGCAATGTGTGTCACGAGCACGTTTCAATTCTTAGTACGTTTAATGTACTTTTCTCTCTTCCTCTTCTTATTTATTCTTTTTTTGGGATACGTGCGGCAGCAACTGAAGGTTTTGCTTTTAATTTGATGCGCTAAGTTACAGCACAATGTGAAAAACGACAAAATTAATTGGCAACGAATACTTCGATTTGGACACGTTTCGCATCTTGTTCGTTTCTCGTTTATTTTTCTCTTCAGCTCTTTCGACCAACACTTTTATTTCAATGCTCTCGCTTAATTTTGCTAATCTACTTACCACACGTTCGGTTTTCGTATGCTCGGCCGTCTTGCGCTTTTGCACCACAGTAATCTTATTGAGAACTTTCATTGCATACAATTTGCCTGCATCGTGTCGGGTCAGTTTACGGACCAGGAAAACGCGTCCATAAGCTAAATAAAAGAAGTGTTAGTTAAGATCCGTTGTCCTTTTTTTCATAGTCATTTATGTATTTTATGCTTACCTCCCGTGCCAAGCACACGAATGATTTTAAAATCATTTAAGCATACGCTCTCATCGCTGTACAGTTTAACTATGAAAGATAAAACAAAAATGCAGATCGATTAGCTTAAGCAGTAATGTTGCTTAATGCGCAATAAGAATTAAACAACAAAAGCGAGGCGACAAGTAAATGCTCACACACACACCCACCCACACACACACACACCTACAAGGGTGCAGTAAGACTGCAGTGCAATTGTTTACCATGTAGTTGAAGCATGTGATTAGCATTATCGCAATTTACTAGATGAGCAGCAGCACGTGTGACACTTGATAAAAGCAGCTCTGCTGCAAATGTGAACGCTTTGCAATGCAAGCAAGCAAAGAGAACTGACTATATACATATATATATATATACACATACATATGCACATGTGTGCACATGTATGAATAGTTTATAAGGACACCCACAGCGACGACGGCCGTCATTGCAGCAGGTGGCTGACCTACTGAGAGAGCGTGGGTGTGTGTGCAAGAAGAGAAAAAGCCTGCCCAGCAACCAATCAAATGCGAGCAACGAGATTCTCTCTCGATGCCTATAGCTATTTAACGGTTCAGTGGCCTTGTCTCGCTTTTTCGTCGTTCAGACGACATTTGTACATTATGCATGGAAAATGGTATAAAACTTTTACGCAAGCAAAAGCCGTGCATATTTAATTAAATTTCCCAAGAGACTAATTTCTATTAGAGTCGCAAGCACTAGCTCGCTCTTAACGTTTGAGAAATTAACAGCGTATCTGTCTGACAAGCAGTGCCTGCGGCAAAGAACAGAGCAGAGTATTATAGAAGAGAAGAGAGCGCCATCACGAGACAGAGATGGGGATAGTGTAAGCGAGTTGAATGCCATTGCTGGACGTTTGTCCTTGAACCTGTGGCCTTTTTCATTTCGGCTATTCGTGCGAAACTTTTTTTTTTGGCAAAAATGTTAGTCATCTTACGAATAACGCTATCAACAATAAGTCAAAAAAAGTGATATGAAAAACTGGCGATTCTCTCTGCCTCTGCAATTCATATGTATCCCATAAAAATTTCAACTTTTTGTGAAATGTTCTCAGCGCATTGACACAGCCGAAAAGGTTAATGAAATTACCTTGCTAATTGTTATTTTGGTTGCAACAAACCTGTTACATATTATTACTTATATACTTATATTATATTTCAAAATACAAGTTGCTGGAACGTCTCTTTTAGCAGGGAGCAACGAACAGAGTAGTCACAGCAGTAGTCTTGCTCTCTGGGTGGTAAATGTAAGTAAATAAAATGTACTTCAACGGAAATATTTATTTTTTTGAATGGCTAGCAAAATTATTGATCCAACAAACAAAACTAGAAGAAGTAATAAACCTATTAGGCATGTACTCATCTAAGATGGAAATTTAGTCAGAGAATGTTAAATATTGTTCTTACAAAAATAAATGCATTAATTAAAAGAAACCAAATAAAGCGCATGAATACTTTCTATAATTAACAGCAATTGCTAACGAATTGACTATCCCGACTAAATTTTATAACTCTTTATCTGTCGAATTTATTTTTGAACAGCAAAACATTCAACAAGCAATTTTTGACCTTGATGAGCAATATCTGAGCCATGCACATACAAAATGAATATTTCTGTACAAATTATCCAATATTATCTTAGCAGACTTTTAAATAATGGTTGTTGTTTTTATTTTTCTCGGTTAGCCAAAGTTTAATGAACGCGATAAATGTGAGCAGAAGTGTACAGAATACAGAATAGAATGTATATGATAAACAGCTGCGTTCTCATCACAAAAACGATTCCAAATATTCTAGATTCGAAACAAAATTCTTTACATTAAATTCGCAGACAGCCTATGTTATTTACATAGATATGCATGTACACACATCCATGCATAAATGCTGACTATTTAATAGATCCTAGTTAATAAGCTGTTAAAGCTGTCAGAAAGCTCCTCTGTTAAAAGTTTGTCAAACTGTGTGCGGTGCTGTACAATCAACAACAACGGAAAGCGCACAGCTGTGTTTATGGCATATGCATACAATTATACACACACTCACACACTTGCTCGACAACCGTTATGAAGAGCTCGCTATCTCTGTCTGGCACAAAGAGAGCGCACGATCAGCAAGCAGCACGCATGATAACAGAATGCAGCACGGAAGAAACTCTCCTCTCTGAGTTGAAGTCGTGTCAAGTTTGTATTTATGCTCACTAACAGGGTAGCAAATTGCCAATTAGGTGCAAAGGCTAACATGTTTTACATTATTTAGCATGCGCATTTATGTTTACATATGCATGTTTGTAGATGTTACTGGGCCTGTTGCATTGTCAAGTTCAAGTAAATCAATTACTTATATACTCAAACACATACACACACACGCATACACAATGCACATGCATGTCCGAGCGGCGACTGTTATTGTTGGTGTTGAGTAGTATGGTGAGTTGAGTTCTGAGGTGAATTACAACGGGCGAACGCATAAACACCCAAATAAAACCATTCACACATTTTCTCTATGCGTCTGTGTGTGTATAAGTGTGGGTCTGTGTGTGTATCCAAGTATGTCAAGGTTAAATGCATGTGCCCCACTTCGAAAGGACCGAGAGACGTAGAGGTCGATGCGGGCTACATTGACCAGCCCATAACAGACAGACAGACACACACACACTCATACATATACACATGCATATATTAGCTTGAGGGAATCAAGTCTAGACTGATTTATTTACTACTCACCATAGGAACGCAGGTCGGTCACGTTCTCCAAATCCCGTTGATGCGCCTCATTGTCCAGATCCAGCGGCGTGCTATTTGTGGGTGGCATCGCATATGTGGGTGATATTGCGGCAGCTACTGCTGCCGCTTTTGCTACTGCTGCCGCCGCTTTGTTATTGTTTCTGTTGTTGTTGTTAATGTTAAAGTTACTGTTAATGTTATTGCTCTTGGATTGACTGCTCTTGCTGGTGGTGGGCGACTCTTCGATCTCAACGTCGCTATCCTCCTCCGAATCCTGATCGTCAAATTCGATGCATTCATTCTCCTCGCTGTCCGCATCCGAAATACAAACAATTTCCGGTACAATCTTCGACGTCGACGTTGGCGGCGGCGAAGCCGGTGATGCTGGTGAGGGTGGTGTTGGTATGGTGGATATGTTATTTCGATAACTGTATTCCATTGGTGTTGTTGTTGTTGGTGCTGCAGCTGTACTGTGCTTCTTCTTCTTAGTGGTGGCCGTGTGTTGCCGTCCAAACAATTTGTTTGCATTATTGTTGCTTTTCTTGCTGCTGTTATTATTATTATTGTTGTTGTGATTGACAGCTCTGCCATTGTTGTTGTAACGCTGCCCACTAGTGGCACCCGAACTGGCTGTTGTTGTCGTCGCCGCCTCCTTTAGCCTGACATTTTTGCTACTACTCCCATTGGTCAATTGGTGCTGCTGCTGCTGCTCTTCGGTGTCGTCGTCGCTCTGTCGTCGTCGTTTCGTCATTCTGCCAGTCCCATTGGAGTGTCCGTTGACAAGTTGAGCGGGTCGCAACATTATTTCATTATCCTCAAACTCTGGCGGCTGTTTGCGTTTGCCTTTTGTGCCGCTTGTGCTGCTGCTGACGATTTCGCACTGATTGCGCTGTTGTTGTTGCTGCTGTGGTTGTTTCCTCTGTATGCGACTCATTTCTTGTGGATTGGCTTATTGCAAATAACTGTTTAGGACGATTTGTAGCAGCTGATTATCATGAGAAAAAGAGTGGCAAAGAGCGCGAATGAAAATTTGTTAAGCGCGGTCTTTCTCTTCTTCTTTGTTTTCTCGTCAATATGGTACAGTTTGGATTCGAGATGGGCGCGTGAGTGACAATTTTTTTATTTTTTTTATTATTTATTATAGCATATAGTAACTAGAGTGCAAGGATAATTAATTTTTTACAAAAGACTATAAGCAATTTGAAATGTTTAAGTATTTTTTTGAGCCGAATTAAACACTAATTTGCACGAAGTACACATCACGCGCACATCTCTAGTACAGTTTGGACACAAGCAGCGACGATTGAAAACTCTTCTAAAAGATCAACTACAACTCACCTCAGAGCAACAAAAGGCGCAAAATAACACTGCACAATTATGTTTGCACACGCTCTGTGTTAATCAAAGGGAACGAACTCTCTTTGTTTGATTTAATTGTGTATATGTTGATTAAAGTTTTAGAGCCCAGGCTTGGATATTATTCAACCATTTGTTAATACACAATTGTGATAATCACAAATTTCATCAATTGTGCTTTGCGCCTGCTCTTCGTATGCACTATTTTTCTTTTGTCTTTTTGCTGTGGCTTTTTCTTATTACGCTCACACACACACGAGCATGATGGCGTTTTTCGGCTACGTTTCACGTTTGTTTTGTTTTGACTTGCAGATTCGACAGTGCAATAAGCTAGATTTATTTTAAATTCCAATTGACGATGAAATCGATTTTGGAGGAATTGAGAATCATATATTTACTTTTCTCTCTATATATATTATATATATATATTCATATGTGTGTGTTTAATACGTGTGGATTTTACAAGTTTTTACCGCCGCTTTCTACTTCACATACACACACGCACACAATACCAACACCAATGCGGCGCGACGCTCTTTGCCATCTGCTTTGCGCTCTCATTCTTTGCCACTTATTTGCTGTTGCATCGACAATACAGCACATTTTTACTATAATTCATCAAATATTTCTTATCCCGCATTGTTCACAAGCGATTGCAATTGCATTGGGTTCGAAGTAAATAGTTATATTTACTAATTTACTCATTGGGGTTATTGGTAATTTCGATAATTCCCCGACAACACGACCGAACACATTGAAGTTATTTATAAAATGAACTGGTATGTGCTAATCGATATGTGTCAATGCTGACCGTATATCGATGATTTGGGCACGATCGTATTTTCGATTTCTTTTAATAATGATAAGAACAAAAAATGAGCTTAAAGTTTCGTAATCCGCGGTCTAACAGATATTGTGGTAAGTAATTGCAAACAAATATTATAAAAGGAAAGCATAATCGCATCGATAGACGCCGAATGCGTATCGGTTGCCATTCAAAGTAAACAAAAACAGCTGAGCGTCTGTAGCTTATCGACAGACCACCACCACTAATTAAAATGACTAATTCAGCACAATTGCTTGCTGTTTGTTATTAAAATTGTTGTAATTCGTTGATTGCGCTCAACAGCTTAATTTCTTTGGCAATTTAACAATTCGGGTTTCATAACGAATTATTAAATTAGAATTGTGAAAATCAAGTGTTTCGGATTTGATAAGTTGGTTTAATTGAAAATGGCCTACCAACAAGGAGCAATGCCCGATCAATCGTTTCTCTGGGACGTTTTCCAAAGGGTTGACAAGGACAGAAGCGGTCAAATTTCTGCTGACGAACTCCAGATGGCCCTTTCCAATGGCACTTGGTCTGCTTTCAACCCGGAAACAGTGCGACTCATGATTGGGATGTTTGATCGCGAGAATAGGGGCACTGTGTCTTTTCAGGACTTTGAAGCGCTTTGGAAATACGTTACTGATTGGCAAAATTGTTTTCGTTCATTCGATCGCGATAATTCCGGCAATATTGATAAGCAAGAGCTCAACACCGCTCTGAGCACCTTTGGTTATCGTCTCTCTGACCAACTTGTTGGCGTCCTCATACGTAAATTTGATCGCTTTGGCCAAGGAACCATTCTTTTCGATGATTTCATCCAATGCTGCATCGCCTTATATACGTTAACTGCCGCCTTCCGGCAACACGACACCGACATGGATGGTGTCATTACCATCCAATACGAGCAGTTCTTAAGCATGGTTTTCTCACTTAAAATTTAATTATGTACTTTCTCCACATGCACAAACCCTGTTGTTTATCACAACATGTACCTCATGTAAATTATTTAAAAATAAACTCAGAAAAATCAACATATAATTGATAACTGAATTAGAATATTTTTATTTTTGCTGCTTTGTGTAACTAGAAACCCACTTAATATTTCACCATAATCTGCTGAAGCGCTTTCCGTTCCAGATCCGGCACTTTGCAATCCTCCGCCGCATAACCCACAGCAAGCAAAATTAACAGTTTCTCATTGGGCGGCCGGTCGAGCAGTCGACGCAGGGCAGGACCACAATTCAGGGGCGTGGTCACCAGAGAGCAGAGTCCGGCCGCTTGTAAGGCACAGAGCAGTATGCCGGCAGCAATGGACGTGGAGATCTCATTGTAGTAGTGCTGCTTCTTGCGACCATCCGTCGTCGTTCCATGCGTCTGCTTAAAGATCAGCACGAGATATGGCGCATCCGTTAAATATGGCTTGTATGCATTTGTCTGCAACGGTCGCAGATCCGTCACCCACTGTTTCTGCATGCGTGCGCTATAGTTGATGTGTTCCTCGTGCTCCACAATCTCCCGCACCGCCTGTCGCAGTGCCAACTGCTCAACCACACAAAATGTCCAGGGCTCGGTGTGAGCACCACTTGGTGCCGTTCCAGCTGAGCGTATGCAATCCTCCAATACTTCGATAGGTGGCTTTAGGGTCGCATTAAAGGCGCGAACACTGCGACGATCGCGCACCAGTTCGTAGAAACGCCTGGCACCATCCGGATTGAGATTATGGCCTGGCACAAAGGGCACATGTGGTTTCTCCTCCAAGGCGGGCTGCAATTCTGCGCCGTTATCAACAGCGAGCGGAAATTCAACTGAATGAGAGTTTTGTTAGTGAGTGTTGAAAAGAATCTATTAAACTTTAGCTACCTGCAACATCCTCTGCCCCATCTATCAGCATGTCCTGCGGCCGTCGTTTTCTGTAGTTCTGCAAGTATTTAATGGTCAAAGTAAGGAGCAAACCAAGCACAAAGCCTGGCCAATGTTTCAACAACTTCGAACTGCTCCAAAAAGATTCCATCTTTGCGCACAGTTGCGAGCGAACTGAGCAGCGATAAGTGGTGCCAAAACTTTTGCTTATCTCTCACAAAAAACTTGGTCATGGCCGACCGAACGGCTGCCTGATAAGACAGAGGGAGAGACAGAGAGAAAGCTCAACGCTTACAGCATTTAGGACAGTAGGAACATTGAGAGGCCTTCAACTGGCGCGCCAGCTCGGACTCCTCCTCGAGTGCAAACCCATTGGGTTCCTTGTTTGTGCTTTGTGTTGCGGCACATTTTCTGTGATCCATTTGACGCCTGTTCACCTCCCGCAAGATCTCAATGATGCGCCACTTAGCATCGTAGTAAATGAAATCTGGTGCTGATCCCAGCTCTGCTCGTATCATGTCGCACAGAACTTGCACCTGCTGTCGCTGATTAGAATCAGTTCCTGGCTGAGTGCTTGCCTCTCTATCACCTCGAGGATCCTGAGTGGCCTTCTGGCTCTTTACAGCAGTAGCAGGCCCTTGATTAAACCCTTGAGCCGCTCGTGGCCCCACATGAATGATTGCAATTCGTGGTTGAAGCAGATTAGGTCCAAAATTCACTGGGTGCTCATTTGCATTATTCTTAGCACCTAATTGTATCTGTGCCCCTTTTAAGACTGATTGTGAACATTGCTTTTGATGCAAACCCTCTTGATACTTCTCCTGTTGGTTCACCAGCTGCTGCTGGTGCTGTTGCTCTGACAGCGGAGGATTCTTTTGTCTGGTATTTTGAGCTTGCTGCTGCTCTTGTTCCTGCTCCAATGGCACTTGCAGTTGTATTTGTTCCTTTGCCTGCTGCTCTGGATACTGCTCCAATGACACTTGCTGTTGTGGTTGTTTTGCGTCCTTTGCCTGCTGTTCCAGCTTCTGTGCTAATATCCATGAGACTTTCTGTTCTGGCTCTATTTTGTACTCTGCCTGCTGCTTCTCCTGCTGCAATGATACTTGTTGGATCGGTTCCTCGTTGATTTGTACCGATCGAATTATCTTTGTATCTGTTGCAGGACCTTTTTCTTTTCCTGCCGATATTGTGTCCGATCTTTCCCTTTTAAGATCTTTTTTTTTACGGTGGGGAAAACAATTAGGCGTAGGTAATACCAAAGTGTTGCTTATCAGGTTGCTATAGTTTTTCCCCGACAGCTGATTCACGCGTTTAGCCGAACTATCGTTTACTGGGGGTGCTTCAGAGGTTCCCCCTGCCAAGTCGCGGTCCAAGCGATTGTCCAAAAATGGCACTAAAAATAGAAACTCATTGTAGTAGGGGATGGAGGGCGTCAAGATACCGCCATTGGAATGTTGCCCATTGTGAATGATGGCGTATTCACTTTCGAATTGTGTGCGCAGCTCGAGGAGATTGGCTTGGATCTGAGCACCGTTTCTGTTGGGGAAGGAGCGTGCGATGTCAGAATAGTAAATCTTTTCAATGTGCTTGTTGCCATATTGCGGGTGATTGGGATTGTAGAGTATCTCGTACTCTGCATAGAGACCAATTAACCTGCGTACATCGCCCTCCTCTAGAGGCACATTAAAAGTGTTTTGTATTTGATCGGGTTGTTGATTATACGGCGCATATTGAGGCCTGATTGCATTCAAAAATGTTTGCTTGAAAAAGCCACGAATACCTTTTGGCCTGCTGCCGTTTGGATTGTTTGGGAGCTGCTTGGAAATTTCCGCACGGTAAGCATTTGTGTTATTGAGTCTTTCCCTATTGGAAGTTGACGGTGCTGGAGCTTCCCGTCTCGTGAATATCGAATAAGAAGGCTTGGAATAGTTGGGTTTGCGTTTGTGTTCCATTTTCAGCTATTTGACGTTTCAGCAGGTGGATAGTGGAGTAAGTGTGTAGATTGGAAGCAAATCTCTCCAATGGCAGCAGCATTATTACAATTGGAATCAATTTTGTAACATTTTCGAAATGAAAAGAATTTTTTTTGTAAATTTTGAAATGTATTAGACAACACAATAGAAATTTATTTATCGACAAATAGTTATATTCAGAACTGATTAAGCAAATGCTAGCACGTTAAAAATGATAAGAATAAAAATTATTTATTTTTTGACGATATTATTTTGAATATTTAGTTTTACTGGATTTCATAATTTATGTGATTTGGGAACATTGTGAATTAGTCAAGCTGTTAATAACAGTTCGGTGTTAAATAGCAGCTGGTCGCCATCCGAGTCTGTAAACAGGCTATGGGGCAACAACAAAGCAGCAAAAACAAAAAGTTACGTGAAATATAAATGGAAAAAAGAGGAAAACTGTAAATGACATGGCCAGCCGTACGATTCCAAAAACAGAGAATTAGTCGCAGTTGAACACTCAGCCTCAATAAAACTACTACTCATTTAATTAGAACTCAGAGCTGGCTGAGCGTTTGGCATTGTGATTTTTATTTGGCATGTGACGTTACTCGTAGCAACTATGATTTAATTGCTGTCAAATCACACTGGACGTGTTAATTATAGTTTAAACTCTGGTCTGGGCAGATGATCTGATAAATAATCTGCAGTAGAACGTGAGCACATGTGTAAAAATATACTTAATACCTGCCCGGCAATTCAGCAAAGTGCAGACTAAATTTAACGTTCACACACACACACACACACACACTCGACACATGTGAAAAGTGCAATAAATCAATGCCCAGCAGCAAGAAGACGGAAGTGGTGACCTAAGCAAGGAACAATAACAAAGAGCACAAGACTGAGCAGCTGTAACGGGACATTGGAGCAAACAGCAACAAAAGAAAGAACTCTTCAATTACATTTTACGTTGATTTATTACATTGAACGACACAAAATGGACGAGGTTTTCTCATTGCACATGGAAAAACTCGACGTATATGACGGTTAGTAGTAGATTATCACGCTTAAAAATATGTGAATAGTATTAAATAGATTAAAAACAATTGCTCGTTTGTCATTTTGAGTTTTAGTTGTCGTTGTTGTCGTCGTCGTCCTCATCAGACGTTCTCAATATCTCATCGACCTGACGATCCTGTTCTTCGGTCTTTTTGCCCTGTATAATCAGATCACGCAGCGTGCCAATGTGTCGCTTTTCTGCACGAATTTGTGCCAATAAATCGATGTTTTCGATCTTTAATCTCTCGATGCGATCTTTCCGATCCTCGGCAGATTTCTTTGTTTTTTCACGCGTGCGTTGCACTGCCTATAAGAAAATTTAAATGTAGTGTGTAATGCAATAATGTGTATATTAAATAGTGTATCAGAATTGCCCTAATTTCCCCAGATGCTATTTTTGGGTGGCAACTTTGTATATTGTTTTGTTTACATTTACCTCATTATTCTTTTTTCTTTTCATCTTGTATGCGGAATCATCTGACTGTGGACTCCTATCGGCATTGCATCGGCTGGTTGATGGCTTTGCAGTGCTTCTCTTGGCTGGCATTCTTTCGGTGATAATTTTAATATGTATTTAAATTTTTGCCTCTTTTTTCCTGTAACTAAAGCTGAAAAAATGTAGTCAAACACGCGAGTCGTTGTGAAATAACAACGCGAATGAATGTACCAAAGCGTAATTGTAAAACATATGTGCGGCCTATTGGATCAAGTATTGGAAAACGAGCGGCAGACAATTAGAGATGCGGTATTATACAATTAATTTATCGAGTGGAGTGAACTGTAACTAAAATTACAACTAGTAAGAATTGTGCAGTAGTAATTGAAATGAAAAGTTACGTCCTCGATACATTTATGGTTTGCTCATAACTTGGTATTATTTTTGCCGATATGTTTCAAATAACAAACTATAAGTTAATACAATTTATTTGTAAAGACTGATTTCTTCTATGTAGTCGATTAAGACCAGAATGTTTAACGAAATAAATTTTAGAGCAAAAACATGTGAATGATGTACAACGTATTATTTAATAAATGTTAAACAAAAATTGAACTTGCGTCTTTCACTGATAACTATCGATTGCAAACCCGATAGCTAATCATGTTTTACAGCACTTACTCTGCAACTCTGCAAATTTCAACCGGCTTGAAAAATGTCTTCGCCTGCACCCCCAAAGTCGCCTGAATTATCAGACAAAAGTAAAAAATATGATAGACAAATCAGGTAAATATATATATATATATATATCTTCAGTAATGTGATTGGCTTAACATGCCCTTTACAGACTTTGGGGTGACCACGGACAGGCATTTTTGGAGGCGGCTACAATTTGCCTGGTCAATGTGACTGCGGTGGGCTGCGAGGCAGCAAAGGGACTCATCTTACCGGGCATTGGTGGCTTCACAGTTGCCGATGGGAGCACAGTGAAGGAGGAGGATCTCGGCAACAAGTACGTCATCAACAGCCAATTGCTATTCTTAGCTCAATTGTAGTAATTAACAAGCATTAGTGTAGCTTCTTTCTAGATTCTAGTTATTTGGGCAAATCGAAGGCCCTTGCCTGCAAACAGCTGTTGCAGGAGCTGAACACGGATGTCAATGGTGATTACGTAGACGAGAGCGTTGACTATATTCTGGCAAACCGTCCAAATTTCTTTGACAGTTTTGATTTGGTAATAGCCTCGAATCTGAATGAGCAATCATTGCTGCAGCTGGCAAACCGCTTATGGGAGTCCAATGTGCCGCTTGTTTATTGTCGCTCCCTGGGCATGCTAGGCTCCATACGTCTGCAACTGAAGGAACACTGCATTGTTGAGGCTCATCCTGACAATCGTCAGTTCGATTTGCGTTTAGAGCAGCCATTTCATGCTTTGCGCGAGCATTTGGAAGCTACAGAGGTCACCAGCAAAATGCCCTGGCTAGTGGTTCTGTACAAATTCATAAAAATCTGGCAAAAGGAACAGGAAGATGGGCGCCTGGCGCCCAGCAACTACAAGGAAAAGACAAATCTTCGCGAGGCAATCAGAGCTGAAATGAAGAAGGACGAGGAAAACTACGAGGAGGCTATGAAGGCGGTAAACACATCATTTGGCGCCGGCCTGGTGCCCAGCTCTCTCAAGGCCATATTCGAAGACGACGCTTGTGAGCAGCTGCACAAAAAGGTGTGTTCGCTTTATTTCTATCAAAACCCATTTATCAATTTTGGATTTTCGCAATAGAGCGATATCTTTTGGATTATGGCCAAGGCACTTAAGCATTTCGTTGTGGAGGAAAACAAGGGCTATTTGCCGCTGCCGGGAGTACTGCCCGATATGACCGCTAGCACGGACTCTTACATAACCCTGCAGCACATCTATCGCCAGCAGGCCTTGCATGATGCCGATCAGGTGTACCACAAGTGCCAACACTACCTCAAGCAGTTGTCCCTGCCGGCGGACAGCATAGATGAGCGCACTGTGCGTTTACTTTGCCGCGAGGCTGCCGGTATGTTTGTCCTACGTGGCACACGCATCGCCGATGAGTACGAGAAGAACTGTCGGCTCTTGCCGCTGGGTAAGTGTAAATGAAGTGCGCATCAATTGCAATTCCACTATTCAACTCTTATTCCTGTTGTAATGTGTAGTAGAGGAGAACGAGCTGCAGGGTACCTTAACCGTCTACAATTTTGCACTGCGTGCCTATGAGCGTTTTCTGAGCGAGTGCGGCAGTATTCCCGGTGAGTGCGCTGTCGAGCAGGACATTGGCCGTCTGAAGAGCATTACCAGCAAAATGCTGAACGACTTGGGCCTACATGCGACCATTAGCGACGATGTGCTGCACGAGATTTGTCGCTACGGCGGCGCCGAGCTGCATGCTGTGTCCGCTTTTATTGGTAAATATCAACTGAGTAAAACTCATCAGATACGTATATTGATTGATTGAACATTTTGCTTGCAGGAGGCTGTGCTGCGCAGGAGGTGATCAAGATAATAACCAAACAATATAAACCAATTGATAATACCTTTATCTATAATGCTATTAGCACTGAAAGTGTAACGTTGAAGTTGTAAAACAATTCCTTATAATACAATTATAAAACAATACTCACTGGTTTTTATCATTGTGTACTTTTTATTTATCGTATCGTATCTCAGCTTATGTCCTAGATATTGTAAGCATTAAATTACACATTTATACGCTGTGGTATCCTTGAAATAGTAGTCGTAGTAGTAGTAGTGTGTGTATGTGTGTGTATATGTCTGTGTTGGGCTTGCAATATGTATTGTATGTGTGTACTTTATTTATTTGGTTTTTATAAAAGCCCAGACCACAATCGTTTGCTCATATGTTATCTTACATTCCTGTATTTATTTTTGGTTTTAATTCTCATATGCGGGGTTTTTTGATTTTGTAATTTTGCATGGAAATTCGATGGCAGCATTTGCGCCAAACGCAATTAGTTGACTTAGTTATTAACATTAACTTTATGTGTGCTTTTACATGTACAAATTGATGCTAACGAAAATGAATCAAGAGTAATTAATACATTTTATATATCATTTCAATAGGCATTTATACTTACAGTACTTGCTTACAACAACAATTCAGTTTATTTTGTTTCGATTTAAACTTAGTTTTTAGTTATTTCTAATAACTTCTTTGCTAAGTAATGCCTATCCAAATTCTTTACAATTAATTAACAAAAATGTACATAAGATGACCGACTACCTTGAGAACAATTAATGCCTAAATTCATTCATTTATTCATGTACTTATCCATATATAAAAATGTAGGCGTCTGGTGTTCCAATTTTGTTAACTTTACCTATATGTGAACACTGTACTACTTGCGATCCATCGTATTAGCAGCAGGAAGTACAGTCCAATTATATATTGCCACGTTGCAAGTGCAACACCTGCACCACCATGATGCAGCTCGGCAAAACTTTCGCCTACAAAATGATGCCTATTATGCATTACTTCAAATTCGTAATAGCTATAAAAACTTACCGTTTAGTATATGCACTACAATGGTAAAATTTTGATATTCACTTATTGAGCAAGTATAGTTTCCCGAATCAGCTTTGTGTATTTTGGCAATCGACAATGTTGAATTTGCCCCATCCTCCATCAGTTCAGTTTTAACACTAAGAAAATGTATATTTAACAGAGTTATAAGATTATAAGACTTGGATTTTAGTAAACCCACCTTACACCACCTCGTGTTACATCATAGTTGAGCACATTTTCGCTATGCTTCCAAAATACAACCGAACTGGTCATGGCCACATTGCGGACCACACAGGATAACTGCAGCGTTGAATCAATTTCATAGTATTTCTCTTGCAATGGATCCCCATACTCATCCACAATCATCACCTTGGGCGCTGTACGATAACAGATAATTGTTATGTTTATATCAATTATGGAGTATGGAATTATTAAATTCCCCACCGTTCACATGCAAATTAATTTGTATGACGCGAGGCGGATGCGTTGAGATCTGGCATTCATAGGTCGCCTCATCGTCCTTCTTCACATTCCCAATTTTCAGTCGCCAATTGTTGGGATACTGAAATTCCATTTTATAACGCTTATCGCCGGTGTAAGCGTGCAGGCCAACAGTTAATAGGTCCAAAGCATTCTCCTCGTTTAGCGTATTACGACGCACCCAGGAAACCTGTTTAATATTGTCACGTGAAAATCATGTGAAAAGTTTTCTAGTTAGTTAACTTTTTAGTTTTGCGGGTCTTACAGTCTTATCTTGCAGCAATGATATTCTGCAATTTAAATGAATGCTGCTGCCAGCCTGCACAGTCATATTTGTTGGTTGTCCAACGCGTTGCACGTCCTCAAAATGTGGCCCGTAACTGTAAGCAAGATGAATATTTGATTAGTTTTAAGTAAATGTCTAAAACTACATTGTATATAGCATATAATGTGCATATCTATTAGACAGCAGGTGTGTGTAAGAAGTAAAACGCAGACAAATATATGTGTATATACCAGTTATTGCTTGTAAAAAGAGTCTTAAAGGTTTAAGTTCAAAGGACCTTCGGTAAACTGTTATTATTACTGGCTGCTTGGAATCAGAGCACCTTTGAAGAGGCAATTTAATAACTATGCAGTTCAACTATTTTATTCATTTTGTTTGCTGTACATTTATTTGAACAAATTACGGATTTTATGGCTCTATAATTATAGTCTCGTGCCTATATTATAATCTCAAACGATATGTTAATATATGTGTATTAGCCTTTTTTCATTTTTAGTTTTTTTTTTAAACAATGTTGTCGTTATTAGTTATTCTTTATTGATTAATAGAGTGCGCTTGGAAATCCCTTGGCCTACGCATTTGCTCTCTGTTGTCGAGTGTTGAAATATTTATTTGCCCAAATTAAATTGGGTCATACTTTGATAAATGCGCCTGGCAATGAATTATGCAAAGGGAAAATGCGAATTTTATAAAATAAATTACTCAATAAATTATATTTAAATATTCCGGAAAAATACTGCAACGTGAGAAATGCAATTGAATAATTTGTTTGATATAAATTAAGTGTATTGTAGGGCTTATGCATCACCTTACCGCTGATCATGATGATGATGTTTGTTGGCCGATGAGAATGTATCGAAGATATAGTTCAACATTGGTGCATCGGTTTTCTGCTGCTTCGGCAATACATATCGACTCTCCACTTTCTTGGCGGAGGTGCGTATATGAGATTTATCCGATCCGGATGCTGTCGATGGGGTTGGCGATGCCAGGAATCCATTGATGGCGCTGGTAACCTGTTGAAACGAACTCGAACTAACACTGGCAATGGTTGCCGTAGTTTCTGGTACATTTCCATTGATGCGTTGGGAACCAATTTGTTGAAATGTGCCACCGTTGCTGCTGATGGAGTTTTTCAGACTTGATGTGCTCTTCTCATGTTGCGCCACATTTGCTGCTGCTCCGGCTGCTGCTGGTGTTCTCAGTGTCGATGCTTGGTGCGAGCTAAGCTGCGATAAGGATAATAAATCTTGTGTTTTTGCATTCATTAGTTGTTGTCTGCCATTCGTTGTGGCAATCGGAGAGGCGGTTGTTTCCCTTGATTTTGGCTCTGCTCTCTCATTTTTGTCCTTCGTTGTGTTCTGCCCCTGCCCCATGGCAATGACGTAATCATTGCCAGACTTTTCAACATCAACGTCATCGGCAACGGCATCGGCATCAACATCAGCATCAGCATCAAAGCCAATATCAGCTTCGATGCCAGCTGCTGCTGCTCCCGCAGCGGCATAGGAATTATCGATTTCATTGGAATCTATGGCACATAATAAAAGAAGGCAAGACAAAATTAAGTTAAAGGACATTCGGCGTGCCACTTACAAAGACCTAGAATTACTGCTCTCTGCAATGCCCAGCCCTGTAGGGAGGAGGGTGCCAATGACTGACCTTTAAAGGTTTTTATATGTTAATCTGAATCTATTCAGCATGTAATTACAGCAATCGCTTGCACTTTAAACACCCATTGGAATTCATTACTTATTTAACTCTTAGCTTGAAAAAGCTGTCTACTGCTTTCGTACAGCTGACATATATTTAATGCAAGGGTATTTAGTTTGGGCCCCACTTATGTCTTTCTTACATCTTCTAACTGAGACGTGATTAATATGTTGTAATAAAGTTTCAGCATTGACGGGAACGTAATTCTTTTTTGGGTGTTCGACTGTGTTCGTGTTGGGTTAAAGCTGCCAAAGATTTTCGTTAAAAAAAATACAGCAACAAAAAATATGGTAAGCTTTTCCCAAAAAATTACTTTAGATTAATGAGTCTATAAATAACATGGTGCACGTCAATGATCTTACTTATTTTCTTTATTTATTACATGTGTTTAACACATAATAGCCAAGGAAATGCTGCGATTGCATTTCTACATCTAATATATGGTTTCATTTTCTCGAAGATTGTTTCATTAAGTCTAAGGCTAAAAATTGTTAAGGGCTTGATATTGACATTTAATGTCAACAATTTGATTGAGGAATTACTGATGAAGTAAATACGAGGCTTATATACTGAAGAGAACTTGAGATCTCCACTATAATATCAATTTATAAAGACTAGGACTTTTCCTATTCAATTTACTCACATATCGATAATAAAAGACTAAGACTTGTAAGCAAAAGTTTTCTGCAGACGCAGCGCAAAAAAGTTTGAAAGATGAACTTAAAATTGAAAACGTCACCAGTTGGTAAGTGGTCTCTTAGCCAACTTATTTTGAAATTAGTTCGAGGTCGCTTGTGGGCGTGGCTTGCAACCAATTACATTCCACAGACATTTCACAATTCTTTTGTCAGTCAGTCAGCCATTCAGCCAGTCAGTTCATCTGCCAGTCAGTCAATTGGCTAACCGCAGAGTTCAGGAGCTCAAACCACTTACCGTAACTAACACGTAACGTTGTTGCCGACTGCTGTCTGTGCTGTGTTGTGTGTGTGTGCGAGTGTGTGTGTGTGTGAGTGTGCGAGTGTGTGTATCCATCCGTTGTAAATTGATATCCAGTGGATGGCGTTGCGGCTGTTATTGTTGTTGTTGCACCACCAGCAGCCTCAGCGTCCATCACTGCAGATACTGCAACAAGCATCGAGGATTCGTAGTCTGTGGGTGACAACTCTTCAAACTGCTGGCCACTGCCGAACGCGTCCATGTTAGTGGGTTGGGCCTGTACCGGCAGCAGCAAACCGCTGCCCAATGCACTAGCGGTGCAAAGCATCATTGTTGTTAATGTGAATAATTGTATTAAATTGCATATAAAACATTCAATTTGGCTTGTTGCAGGGGTTCTTCTTGTTGCCGTTTTTGTTGCGGTTAATTGTTTTGTTTTGGTTGTGTTTTTAATGCGTATCGTTGTTGTTGTTGTTGTTGCTGCTCTTGTTGTTGTTGCATTTAACCGCATTTTGTATTTGTGAATTCCTGCGTGGAATTTGCCTTAACCAAAACACATTTCACTAACTGCATTGAGCTTGTTGCCACACTGCCCCCGCCACCGCCACCGCCACTGCTGCTGCTGCTGCTGCCACTTATTTAACTTGTTTGCTTTTGTTTCCAGTTTCTAGTTACTATTTTATGTTGTATTTTCGTTTTTGCGGTTTTTGCACTTGCAACTTTTGTGCTTCAACTTTGTTTAATATTATTTGCGTCGATTGATAATTGATATTAGCTGGCAAATTGATTTATAATTGAATTTCTTTGAGTGATTTAAATAGAAACATTTCTATTAAGTATGTATAATATATGTTAAATGGATTACGTTTAATATTTTACGCAATTTTTGCATTTATATGCAGTCCATAATTGAATTTGGCTTAGCGTGTACACATTTAGCAAAATCCCAATTTTAAATATATATCGCTTGAATAAATCTAGCTCAAGCAATTATGAATATGATTATTTTTGTTAGTGTCCCAAATAATGTGTCTAGCTGGTTGCGTAGGGACTTTGATAGCAAAACCTCTTTCATAATCTACTTTTTGTTGTTGTTTGTTTTGCAGATGCTTTTATGCTACCTATCCTTTTTATCCTTGACGCCATTTACATGTATTTATTTATATGAATAGCTCACATTACTGGGGCAACATAAAAGCAAAAAATGAAAAAGAAAAAAAGAAAGTAAAACCTGAACAATTCCAGAGCCGCCTTTGCATTGTATGTTTGTTTGTTGATTTTTGTTGTTGTTGTGGTTTGTTTGCTGCTGCACTCGTAATAAATTCTCATAAATTCGGATATCCGGAATTATACAAGTCAACGCAGAGGAGGCAGCTGTCGGTTCAATCACAAAACATAACTCGCGATTTGTAATGGTTGAGTTTTGAAATGTGTAAGGTAATAAAAATGAATATGTAAATTAGCGCGAAATGCGATTTCATAAAAAAATATGTTTGGGTAATACAAGAGCAATAGCTTTATAGCCACATTTCGCCACAATGTTGGAATTGTTTTAATTCCGCATTTGAATATTGCTAGTCGTAGATACATATATATGTATGTATGTATGCAAGCATGTATGTATGTATGGGTATGTAGTAGTTATTTCGCAGACACAATTTCACTAACGGTCTCAGAGGCCTACACAAATTTTCTTGAGGGCATAAAACCGCGACAGAGATTCCCATTTATGTGCTCCGCCCAGTTTTCTTTTATTTTTTTGTATTTCTGTGTTTCTTTAGCTGTTTCGATTCTTTATGATATTCTTAAAGCACTTTCAATTTGAGCTTAGCGGCATGTTAAAAAAAACTGAACTTTGTTGTTGCTGCATATTTATTTTGTATATGTAATCAGAACAACTTTCACTTGACAACTAGAATATTTTATTATTTATTTTATTTTCATTTCTTTTGCTTTTTGCTTTTTATATTCTCGTTTTTTTGCTATTATAATTTGATGGCATGCACGGAAAATTTGTATTTCTTTTGCAACGAACCACACAGAATATCAAGAAACTGAATAGTTATGATTTGACGTAGTATTACACGCAAGTTTGAATATCTACATTCGCCCCAACGACCAACATCGACTCTACGAGTTGCGGATACGGTTCAAAGACGTTTGAATGTTCCTTCCACAGTTGGTGCGAGTAAACGTCAACACGCCGTTACACTTCGTTTATGACTGTCCTTCTGAAGGCAGCCCAAATCAGTGGGTTGTTGAATTTGAATTGTTGTTGACTGGCCGAGCTCATCAAAACTGCCAAATCTCTGCCTCGTTGTGTGCCTCGGCTCTTGCCATGGGGAGAGCGGCGGGGCCAAAGCTTCTTTCCTTTGGTTTGTTGAATTTTTGACGAGTGGTGGCTACTCCAACTCCGAATTTCTAAGGGGTTGTGTGGTGTGAAAAGATTGGCATAAATTCGGCAAAGCAGTGCAATCTAAGGGGCTGTGGTTTTGGTCAAAATTACTTTTACTTTTAGTTTTTAAGTTAAGAGGTTTTTGTATGTGATATTTTGTAGCTTAATTATTATATCTATCTGTAGTATATTTATATTGGCTTATATCTATAAAAATAATTTGTGAAAATCATAAGTTCAGCAAAGAATTAGCTTAGAATTGAATGACCTTTTTATGTCAGTTTACACATGGTTTAATTAAGTTATACAAGGCATGTATAAGTCAGAACCCAACTGGCATACGTATAAGAGCTCGTTCAGTAAAGATTTAGCTTAGAATTGAATGACCCTTTTATATCAGTTTACACACAGTTGAACTAAGTTATACAAGGCATGTATAAGTCAGACTACAAGTGGTATACGTATAAGAACTCGTTCAGTAAAGTTATACAAGGCATGTATACGTATAAGAACGCGGATACAAGCTAAAATTACTCACAGATGGCGCCACTCATTTTATGCCTAAACGCAGCAGATACTTGAAGGAAATACTCAGAGCACAGTTGAGGCTGTTCTCTCCCTCTCTCTCTTGTTCCCTCTCTTCGTGTCTCTCACCCTCAATTTATGCCAATCAGCATCTGGCACTGTTGTGACTGTTGTGTTATCAGAAACGCTTGGATGCTGGTCGGGTGCAGACGTCCTTGGTCCTTGTTTGGCAGTACTGCCATTTGAAATAAATTGTGCTGCAAATAGTTTAAAGTGCGAAAACGTCTCGGCCGAATGAAAAAATGTGAAGTTTGTCTCATAATATACATACACACACACACACACACAACTTAAAGAACGTGAAAATAATAAAGCAATGAGGATATTGTCCTGTTTTTGTTATAACAAAGGCACAATTAACGCTGAGGACAAGTGAAGCGCTCTAATGAATAATACCTTAGTATACATACATACAAACACACGCACACACGACGCATACAGACATATATAAACGTGAAAAGAAAAGTTGTTTTAGGTCAAACAAAAGCGACAAAAAGAAAGAAAATCCGAACCGAAGGGAAGCATGTACAAAGCGCGCCTGCAAAAATGAAAATCAATTAGAAAAAACGCTATAAAATTAAGGATCCATCAAGCTCGCGACGAGTAAGTAATTAATTATGCAGAGTATGCAGTGTGTGTGTGTGTGTGTGTGCGTTGATTGTTCTCAAATGGTAGTTACATAAAATAATACAGGAGACACAGCATCCTCTAATGGGGTTTTTGCTACTACTTACGCCTGGCTAGTCAAAGTATCCTTTTTGCGTTGAACTTTTGCTGGTGTCTGTGTAGTAAGCACACCTGTTTCTGTATCGCTTGAAAAATGTGAGAGACACAAGCAGGCAGCCCAGAGCCCAACTTGAACAGCTTGTTATCAGATCCTTCAGTTTCCAGTTGGGGGATTTCTGCTAATTGTTGTCTCTTGTTGTGGTTCTCTACAAGTGTCTGCCTTGTTGTTGCTCTTTAAGATCTGTTCGCTGCTATTCTTGGCACTGACATTGTTGCTGTTGCTGTTGCTCTTGTCGTCGTTGACTTGTTATGTGCACAATTAGTTCAGTGTGTGTGCGCATACTTGAACTCGGGGGTCTCTGTCTAAACAGCCCCAAGTAACGAACGAGATGACCTTACTGCCACAAGTCCCTAAGACACAAACAACAGGTGGATGTGTGTGGTGCGATGTGTGTCCTTAGCTATTCTTAGATATTGGATTTGCTACTCTACACCTGCAGGTGAAAGATTTAACGATTGGCATCTGCGGTGTTAATTGAAATTTTTCATTTTGTGTGTCAGAAAAATTTGAAAATTGATGCAAACAGAAAGTTAGGAAAATAGTTTCCTTTGGCAAAATTGTTAATTAAATCATTTTTAATTTTAGTTTCCATTTTAAGGGAAGGCAAATACTTCAAATTTATATAATTTTATGAAATAAAAGTTTCAAAATAATTCAGGAATAAAAACTACTACAACTTTATCCAAGCTGAACTGATTTTGAATGTCAAAGCGCAATTATTCAGGGATTTGTCCGCTTGATTAATCTGCAAAACTTTTATTAGATAAAAATACAGTGGTTTATATCTTTATATATATATATCTATATATCTTTTTGTAAATGAAACATTTGAAGGAATCTCATTCAAAGGATTAACGCACATTATTCTAACTCATTATAACTCTTATCTTCGGATAACAATGAGCTGATTATCAGCATTTCAGCAAAGCAGTTGTCTCTAATGAATCCATTTGGTTTTGTCCTGCAGCGCATCCGTTGATGAGCAGCTCGTTGGCTATTGGTACAAGCACCACAGCAGAGAGCGGGACGTCGATGTGATTGTAATGCCGTCACGTCGCAGTGGTGGTGTTGGCACCACACGGCGCAAGCACTCGCTGGGCAATCTGCGACGAGCGCACCCGGCGTCCGGCGCCACATGGAATGTGCAAGTGGTGCGTGGCAAGATGTCCTCCAAGTGCCTGTGGCATGCCTGTCGAGCGCTAATCCTGGGCCTGGCCCTAATGCTGGTCGGGGCTGGTATGGCCACCCTCGGCTACTATGCGGATCATCTGTCCATGGGCTCCGAGCTGAGAGGCAATGTGACGGTGCGCGTCAAGAACGATCTGAAGGGCTTCCATTTGAATAACTTTGCGTATGTGGGACCGATTGTGATGGGCTTCGGTGGCTTCATCGTGGTCGCCTCCTGTGTGATGACCTTCGAGGCACGCGACTCCGCTGCCAAGGTAGTGCCGGCTCGATTGCGCGCTGGCGGCGGCAGTACTTGCAACAAATCCACGACTCGCAGTAATCAAGGCAGCTCCGCCTCCCAGCGACGTGGAATGGGTAAGAGAAAAAAATAGATATTAATAACAATGAACATAGATATCAAGTAGATTCGGCATGCCGAACTTAAAAAAAAAAACAATTATTGTATGAAATAGTCAGATTTTGATAATTGTTTGCAAATTTGGGATTTCTTAGAAAACCAAAATTAGTTCAATGAAAGAACTCTCTTCAGCTTTTATTCGATTTTGTTTGCTATGTTATAATAAAGTATTAGTTAAAGGCTTATGCCACTAGAATGGAAATAGATACTTTTATGCAGTTGAAGATGTCTCCTCTGTGTGAATAAATGAAGAATCCTCTCTTCACATGTCTTGCCTTGCATAGGTGCTCAATATCAGTCGACCCGTTGGGATCAGCACTTTGGCGTGTTTCGCTCTTCGCCCAACGATGCACATCAGCAGCTGCAGGCAGTCGCTGGTGCCACAGGATCGGCTGCGACGCAGCCCTTCGATCGCGAGGCACTCACCGCGGAGCTCGTCAAGTTCTCCAAGTCCCTCAGGTATTTACCACCACTTATAGACAACTTATAGACAAGAACTTGTGCATTAAATCCACATTAAGCATCGCATACTGTAAAATATTGCTGCAAATCGTAATTGGCTGCTTCATATTGCTTCATTCTGTCTCTCTCACTCTCTTTCTCTCTCTGTCTGTCTTGCTATCTCTCTCTTTCGGCGTCTCTATCTCTATCTCTGTCGCTCTTTTGTGATTGCTTTGCATCTACCATTAGCGCATCCACACGATACTCGCCACAGCTGTCTCAGCGTCGCCTCACCTTCACTGGTTCCGTGCCCAATCTGTCCACCATCCATGCAAACGCTCATCCATCCACCGACTGCAACGACTCTAATCACTCCAATCTGTTCTCGTCGCATCTTCAATCGCCGCTGGAACTTCACTATCAACAACTGATACAACAACAACAACAATTGCAACAAATGTGCTGCAAACGACATCATCACCATCATCGCCATCATCAACACAAACAACGCAAACAACAACAACAACATCAACAATCGAGCAGCAGTGTTCGACGCGTTCGTCAATCTCGAACCGCTGGCAGCGCTGCTGGTGGTGGTGGTGGTGGAGCTGGTGGCTCAAGTGGCTCCAATACACGCCTCAGCGGTAACTCCTCCAGTTTGATACAGCGCGCAACAAGAGATTATACCACCTGCACTCTCCTCCAGCCGCCGGCAGCGAGTCGTGTCTACTGGCAGGCGTCGTCCTTCGATGCTGGCATGGGAGCGGGCATCGCTGTGCACTCCAGTCACGGCGAGAAACGCGCTGAGCGCAACAAACGCTCCGATACAGCCAAGCGACATGTCCTCTCCCGTCAGCGTCCCATCGAGCACGAGGATGCAGCGGCGGCGAGGGAGAGGGATCGAGATCGTGACCGGGATCGGGATCGTTACAGTCCGTTGGGACACAGGCGGTAAGTGTTTAGAAGAGCTTTAAACATACTCAGGTGCTTAAGCTTTTGCTGCAAAGCACGAGTAAAGCTTTCAAAGCACATTGAACAAAAATCTATACTTATAATCAAATGTGTCTGAAAGCTCAAGGCAAACCAAAAACTTGATTTGGCTATTTGAGTTTGATGATGAGGGTTTCAGCAATTGTCTCTCATTTCGCTCAGTATTCAAATCAAAGCTTAGAGGCATTCATTTAATAGATAATAACTTATGAAACCATTTCCACAAGACTTGTTTTAGCTTAGCTTTCAGCTTGCACTGCTTTATCGCTTGTGAAACACAGAAAGCACATTAATTCTTAATGATTGGCAATCTGTTAAGAGCATTTCTCTAAGGATTAAGGGGCATTGATTAATTAGCTCTTGGACGTAGCACTAGAAAAATCTAGATATTCTCATACACAAAAAAAAACAGAGTTTTTCATTCCGATTCATCAATCACTTTGCATCCTTTTGCAGCAACTCGACCATGTCAGATTCATCGTATAGTGGCCGCTGGACGGCACGTTGTGCTTCTGTGGCAAGTCGCACTTCCAGCATCGATTCGCGTCGCGTGCAAGTAGATCTCCATAGTCCGGAGGTGATGCCAAAGTCGATACTGCGCTCTCCCAAACGCTACAGTTCCGGTCCCTCGGCCACGCCATCCGTCGATAAGGAGTTCCGGTAAGTGTTTCTATTCTTAGCACAGCACAAAGGACCGCCACTTATTGTCACAATGCATTCTCAAACAGCAGCCAGTTGTCGGTGTGCTCGGAGCCACCACCACCCATACGTCAATTGTCGGGACAGTCGAGCATGGAACCCGCTCTGCCGGAGGAAAATGTGGATGTAATCGATGAACGCGTTGACAATGAGTGCAACAGCAACAACAACAACAACAATAACAACATCAACACAAATGTCTCCTACAATGAGATAAATAAGCTGACGCATCACAGCCACAGTCTGCCACCGAAGAAACCGCGTCCCGACTTTCTGCCACTCGGCGACAGCACAGATCAGCAAGAGGCACAGCAGCAGCAGCAGAAGGCAAATCCTGCAATGCTTTACAGGAGCAGCAGTTCCAGGCAGTTCTATCGACCCAAGCCTGGCATTATCAAGGATCAAGATGATTCCATATTCTATATACGCTCGCTGGAGCGTGCCGTCAGTTCGGCCAGCAACGATGAGCAGATGTACGACTCCCTTCGGGTGATCAATGAGCGCCGCTCCACATTGCTGATGGCGGATTCGCAGAGTTCGCTGGGCTCCGCGGAGCGTAAGCTGAGCAGTTTTTCGCTAAAGATGCCGGATATAAGGGAGCGGGAGAACTCAATAGATATTGAGGAGGGGTCGGCGGCAGCAGCAGCAAAGGCTGCGGAAGATTCACCCACAGCAGAGCTTGAAAAAGATCCAAATGATACCTAAATCAATTGTAGATAATTATATAAATGTGTGTTTGTGTGTATTTATAAGGTATATCAAATAATTGGTTACCGCTAGCCAATGACAGTTACTTTAAATACGGCTCTATTGTCAAAATGTTTGATACGCTTGCAACAATTGGTACACCGAAAAATTGAATTTAAGTTTACAAAGATTAGCATAGAAAACATGTCTCAAAACAACAAAAAATCGATCTCAATCGTCTCATTTCGTTTCATTTTCACAATAACTACTATCTGAATATGAATTACTATAGCTGTATTAAATACCGATAAAAACTAACTTTAAATCGTTATCTATGTTGCCATAGGCACTATTCGATGTATTAAAATTATAGTCTTCCTATTGTTGAATTGTTGAAATAACTGTGAAGAAACACACAAAACATTAACTGTTATCATTTAAAATGTTCTTTGTGGATATAAACGAGCTTTTAATAATTAAGTTCTATGGCTCCCACTTTCACCTATATCCTGTTTCCGGTTTGTGCAACCTAAATGAAAACAATTCCTTGGAAAAGCACTTTGAAATTTTATGTATATAAGAAAAATATGTAAAAAATACAATCAGCTTACAAGCGAAGACTGATGTTCGTAAAAATAATGTTCTATTTATGGATTGTGCGCTGCAAGGACAACAAAATGTCAATTTCTGTTCCAGATACAATGAAAAGCAATAACAAACTGTAATTACATAATGATTATAAAGCACCGAGTGCAAATGAGGACAGCGAAAAGTTAACCATAAATAAATAAACGAATAAGCATATTATGTTTCAAGCGTTCCATAACTGAACAATGTATAAGAAATATCAGAGAAAAAACTCTATTTTCACTTATGTATATTTGGGTTTGTCAAGTTGAAACCAGTAATAAATAGTACATATTTCACAGATACAACTTCTACCAACGTAATTATTGATAATCATATATGTGAAACACACTTTACATGATACTTATACACACTAAATATGTATTTTATATCTGAGTGTTAATTTATAAATCGAAAGAACGCAAACAAATGTTTCTTAATCCATGTTTCTTATAAGTGTGTTGCAAAAAAATACCTATAAAACCAAATGTCAGGCAATCATTGGCATTGGCCCTAAACAAAAAATATGATGGAATTTGTACTTATGAAAAATCAGATAAAACCCAAAATGTTATACGTACTCATTATTGATGTGCAAAAAGTTTTATATTACCTGTTTATTGCATGAGAAATCCATATTCACTAGAGATGCAAACAATATTTATATTAATAAATGGAATTATATGTGTGTTAAAATTTAAAAATTTACGTTGCTTTTGAATCTCAAACGAAGGTCTTGTTGCGTTAAGTGTGGAGTAACAGTGGATACGATTCGTTCGATGTGGAGCAATTCTGTTAATTATGTTAAATCAGCTGTTAAAGTTAATTTCTTGTTTTTTCTTTCAAAATTGACACCAAACGATTTATTTTAATAAAACATAATATTAATTTAGCACAGGACTTCATTAATGTAATTTATTTTGTACTGCAGATCTTCACGAAACAAATAAAGTAGTGCTGTTAATAACATTTCCACAACTGTTAAAATTGTAGGGTGCCCAGCGCAGTGTAAATAGAAAATTGTTATTGTTATCTCCGCAAAATACACTTTCTTAGTGGAATTTTGGTTAATAGCAACTGACAATCAACGACCAGGCTTGCTAAAGTTTGGATTACTTCCTGTCGAACACGCTCCCTCTTCCGTAGCTGATAAGCAAACGAAACAAAATGGTATTCGGGTAAGCCATACAGCAAATGTGCATGCAAAAATTACGTAATCCCAGCGCTAATCTTATTGCCCCGCTCCAATTAGACTCCTGTTGCGCGGTGGACTCGTCGCTGGTGCTGTTTACTACACGAACAAGGCTGGCGTCTGGGGCAATCCCGAGGAGTCGCATAAGCTGTACAACAACGTGAAGGCGAAGCTCTGTCCCTATGTCCAAAAGGCGAAGAAGCAGCTGCCGTTCGAGGTGCCACAGCTACCCAAGGCGGGCGAGATGCGTTTCCTGGCCAAGCACTACTACAACGAGGGGGTGAAGAGCTCCTTTCGGTTTGTCCACATGCTGCCTTGCTATGCGGGCCGAGGCCTCAAGAAGGTGAAAGATACATTCGAAGACTTTGCCAAATCCCCAGCGATCACCGCCAGCGAAAAGCCTGCAACGGTGACGGCGAAATAGTTGTCCAATTATGTGCGCTTGTCTGTTCAATAGCAGGCTGTTTTCATGTTAGTTCATAGTTAGTCTATTGAATACTATGTTTATGTATGAAAAAACCTCAACTCTCCCCAAGAACACACAGACAAACTATCGAGCAGCTCTGCGTCGGATGAGAGAGTCGGAGATGATGATAGAATATTAATTTACCTCTCTCTCTGTCTTTGAGTATTGTGCTCGAGCTTCTGTGCTAGCAATAAACAATATTATGTCTTAAGCGTGAAAGCCGCCTTGAAACCTCATTAAACATTAGCATTTAATTTAAACAAACACGATGCTGAACGAAACCATTACACATTTTAAGCGCCTTCTGAGGAAGCTAATTGTAAATCTATGCGAGCTCTCTGTGTGATTTACATGTTATATTTAAACAGTCGCGACAACATTTCTCAGCACTTAAAACAACAGATAAGCAACGAGAGTTTTAGCTCTTAATTTATTGTGAGGCAAAACAAATTATTAGCATAAGTCAGCAGCAATGATGACAAAGTAAAACACCAACTAGGCGATGAGCGTGCAAGAAACACGTGAATAAAAAAAAAGTATCATGCAGCAGTGGGTTACCCCAAACGATATCAAATAGAACAAAGATTGACTCAACTCAAATGTACTCAAATATGTCTCAAGAAGCAATTAAATTATTCATTCTATAAATAAGTATTCCTTACAGATAACAATTTGCACACTGATAACACTTATTTATGATAATAATTAGCAAGAATTTGAATTGGATTCCTATTGGATAGTTGACATTTAAAGCATTTTTGCCAAACTGCCGATGGCAACAAGAACAACAATCTTTGTTTGCTCTCTGATAAATGATTAATAGCAAGTTAGTATTGCTGGCGCGATGTTCCACACACTCAATCATTATAAAGAATTGCAGTAGGTTATTCTTGTTGCTGTTGTGAGAGAAAACTCGTCGCGAGAGTTGATAAAAATAAATATTGCGGCAGGCAACGTCACTCATCTCTGAGAGCGACGCATTGTCATTATCAACATCAACAATATTATCATCATCATATTGGCCGACTGACTCATTGATTAACCCATAAGAGCGAAATTTGCCGGCAACTGTTGTCATTTATAACACATTATTACAGATTACAACCAATTATGGCTGTACTTCAGCATCTTCCGTTTTTATTTTTGTGCAGAGTAAAGATTATTACGCATACGCCGCCGCACACGTTCAAATATCAGACATTAAACATGGCTTTGTACGTTTCATTGTCGCAAATAAAATAAAGCTAACAACAATATACGAACAGACGTCAGACGCAGTGGCAAACGTGCGCCGCACACTGATAACAGACAGTTAGAGACAACTAACTGTACTGTGGACTGCTTCTTTTTTTTTTTTTTTTTTGGTCGGCTATATCCCTAATTGTGTGGAGCACTTGAGACCGTTCCCAAAAAAAATACAATCTAGCGATAAATGCCGTTAGGACAACTGCAACATGTCGCTGTAACTGTCACTGTTTTAATTTTAGCCATGTCGGCACTCAAAGAGCACTTGACTGATTATCTTCAGGTTATTTATATTTTATTTATATTTTTTTAATTGGCTTTGCTTTGGTCATGTCTATTTATGATATTTACTAGTACTGCTATCTGCCTGGCTACTTACTAAGCCATATTTATTAATATAGCAAGCACTAGTTTATAATTAATACAACTAGTTGTTTGATATTACTGTTGGTCCAGTTAAGCGGCCCCAAACACAAGTAACTGTCTGCCTGCCTGCCTGCCTGTCGCGCTGACAGGCTGCAGATAAAAATTTACTACGCATCCCCCAAGTGCACCCCCACTGGGAGTCGTGTGACTCATGCTATGGCAAAGATAATGTCAAGATCTTAGCTATGGATGCTGATGCCGCTGTTATTGTTGTTGTGGCAAAACTTCAAAAGCGCCGCTGTAAATCGAATTAAATCACGTGTTGAAACAGGCAGCTAATTTTCATTAACTTGTAAATAATTAAATTTGTTTTGGTAAGCGCAAATTGTCAATATTTGCCAGCGCACGAAACAAACATGAAATCACATTTTCAGTGACCCATAAAAAAAAATCAAAAAGGTAAATAAATACATACTTAACCTCTAAATGGGCGAAAACACGTATACGCAATGTTGTCCCACCTCTCTCAGACCCCAGCCCCAAGGCAGACACAACAAGCAACACCTCCGAGACCTACTGCGATCTGGAGGCCACAAGGGGGAGGCCTCATACAAATGTTGTATGAGCATACACACCCACACACACATCCAAACACACAGCTGATGATAAGGAACAATTTCTTTTTGAACATTGCGTATACGTCTCGGGTGACGACAGAAGAAAGCGTATGGGAATTAAAAGTAAAATAAGGCTTTGTTTATTTGCCAATTGCGAACAATAATTAAAAATGCTTTCTTGTTTAGTTTAATTAAAGTTAAGATAAAAAATATTTTCATATTTGCAGATATTCAGTTGACTTGGTCAACACACAAATTGACGCAGTTGCAAAAGTTAAATATATAAATTGTACAAATAATTTATAAATAGAAGTTGTGGGCTTCTACGAAATTCTTAGGGGACTTACCCCTACAGATATGCATTATTGCAAATGTTGTCCAATTTAGTCACTCATCAATTATTTTATCAAAATATTAAACCAAATATTTATAGAAACGTGTCTCAAACAGTTTTATCTAACATTATCTACAGATACCGCTTTTTTTCCGACAGTTTATGATCTGATTTAAGTTTATGATACATAAATATTGTTGTTTCCTTTTTAACAAAACAAAATGGAGCAACTTTCTGTTCGAGAGCACTTTCTAGGAGATTTGTTATCTAATTGACGTGTGTTTCATCAAAATAAGAAAAATAACCGCAAAGTGAATAAAAGTATTTGTGTAAATTCTAGTCCAAACACAAATGTTTAGGATTTGTCATATGAGATTTCGAACTGATATGAGACATCTCTATACCCTTTACCACTTTATAATTGTCAGCTGTTGTCAAGTCTTGCATTTAATAAAAGTTCAATTAACCATTCGCTAAAGTTATTTCCAATTGAGCATTCAATGCCTAAGTAAACAAAAAAATCAATTAAACAAACAATACACAGCCTACAGAAACAACAACCAGACACGAACATGATCATGATCATGATCAGGGCTTTCAGCTACTGTTGCATCCAATATTAATCGTAATGTTATTAACTCATTTTGTTATTGGCAATTTGTGATATTCAATTATTGTCACACACATTTCTATGGCACGTTTCAACTTTTGCACATTGTTGCTATTGTTTATTAATTTGCCAATAACAATTGCGTTAAGAGGGCGACCTTTATAGGCATAAACCGGCAGCATCGAATATCGTACACAATACAATAAAGTTTGTTCAACTAATCGGAAATTGGCATAATCAATGATTGTTCTCCCGTAATTGTTAACTGATAAGAATTAAATAGTTTTCAAAGCTTTTGCCAGTTTGATGAACTGTTAATCGCAAGCAGCAACCGCAATAACAAGTTATATAATAATTGATATACCACATTCATTTGTTTAAACAACTGCAAAGCGTGTGCCTTGGTCAAATATTATTTATGTCTCGGCTTCTCCTCATCTAAATCGATTGCCAATTGCTTAATTACATTTGTCATGATGTCGAACGCAAGTTTTGCAACAAAACACCTGATCACACACACACTCCAAATCCAGCAGTGAAGACTACCTCTCCCCTCTATACCCCTATACTCTTCACAGCTCTTGATATGCTAATGCTGCAACAATAAATGTTGAAGTGAATTTCATTATTATTTTAACTACTACACATGTTGCACTATTTTGCACTGACTAGAACGCATTTCGAAGACTTGGGGATACCGGTTTACACATTTTCCAACTCATATACGTATGTAATGCTTCCTATCTGTGTATAAATATAATTATATTAATGAGCTTTAGATATTTTATATGTCATTTGAAATTGTACCCTACAGAATGTGTGTAACAATGAAAAGACTCGTTAAGAGTTCGCAGCCCCACAAAATGTTGGACATTAAATGTCTCAGCTTGTTATGCTATTTAGAGATTAATTTCTATGCAAAGCTGATTTTAGTGTTAAAGAGTATTGATAAAGTGATATTTCACCAAATTACTTTCTAATTAAATTTGTAAAAAGTTAGTTTATTAAGCATATTGCTTATTTGAATACTTCTTGAAGTTATGTCAGTGTAGGGTATCTGAGAGTCGAGCCACTGCTTGTGGGTTGCTGCTGCTGTTGATGCTGTGGCCAGTTTATAAGTGAGACGATCTCCAGCGACCCTGCGCTGTTGCCTTTACGCTGTTCGACAGGTAACACCGCCGCACTGAACAAAAAATAAATACAAAAAAAAAAAAAACACAAAAAACAGCTTTACAAGTTTGTTGTTGTTGTTATCGGTGTGGTTGTTGTTGTTCTTGTTCGGTGGCTGACTGGCTTATCAAAAAACCGAACTGAACATAACGAACATTTTGGGCAACTACTTAGTACTTAGACAATCTTCGTTAGCTTCCTCTAGCAATCGCCGAGCGTTAAGAGCGCAGTGCTCTTTGAGGCGTCGCCGTCGACGATAACCGCAGCAGCAGCAGCAGCAGCAAAAGCAGCAGCGCAGGTGGGCCAAGTTGCTATTTCAGTGAGCTATTTCTGCGAGGCACAAGCGCGACGCGAACTCAAAACGCCAACGACTGGCAACAGGTCCACGTCCTCGACATTAGAACAAATTGCGAGCCGTACCGCATCGAATCACTCACAATTTAAGTATTTCGATTCTTACAAACAATTTGTGAATTGAATTAAATGCACTGCGATCGGCAAAGTGAATGTGTGACGAAGCGATCATAAAATATCGTGTGGAAATCGAGAGTGTCACAGAACAAGTGTTCAATTACAAAGTGTTCCACTATAAAACATGAGCATTAAGCAAAACGAATAATATCAAAGTATAAAGAAAAAAATAAATTAACTAAAAGAAATAAATTAAATAATTAAAATTAACTCAACACAAATAAGTGCGTTAAGTCTAGTGAAGTTAGTTATTTTAATATATTTCTTACACAATGAAGAATTTGTATTTTGGGCCCATTACAAAAATACTATTAATAACTATTACATTGAGCAACATACTGAATTACGTTTGGTAAGTCAAATCAAATTATTTAGTCAAATTATCCCATTAAAGTAATTATAACATCGCCTTCATTCCACATTCCCCGCAAAGCTTTCAGTGTTTCTTTTTCCGTCCATAAGAAAATGCTGATAGTAATTTTAATTTCTTTTTGGGTATTACACAAAAATGCGCAATGCAGAGCACAAAACAAAAACAAAAAAAAAAAAAAAAACAATTGCGAATGATAAAACTTAATAGCATTGATATGTTTCTATTTGTCAGATACTACCAAATTATACCGAAGTTGGTTGAAGAAAAAACTGATTGACTTTTGCGACTTTGCACATCTCTTTGTTCTGGTCTTCTTTTCTTCATTGCTATCCTAAGTATTTTGAAGCTCTTTGTTTTGGTTTGAGTATTTGTCAATTGTATAGAATGCGAAATATTTACAGACTGACATAATCTTCACTTATTAATTAAGAGTTAAAATTTACACAATTTCTGACAGTTACACAACTGATAAAAATGATAAGAAATATGATGTAAAAAAAACATTTCCTTTTGCTGTAACATGATAAAGCCAAGAGTTTGTTATCAATTTTAATATGAAAATTATTTAAGTAGAAGTTGTTTCATCAGTTTTGATAACTACACTACCAGAGAACTCTCGAGAGAATATGCACTTATTCACAAAAAAAACATTTAATATTGGGTTGGGCAGCAATATTAACTTGTATTACGTATACGCCATGCGCCATGCGCCGTTCGATTTTTTCCGTTATTTATATATGCCGCCGACGCTGCTGAGTAAATATTTCCATAATTTGAAGGTGTAGAAATAGAGAACAGAAATTTTAATTAATTCAAGCTAACTTTCGGGGCTTATGTGCTGTGTAGAATAAGGTTAGAGAGCTCATGGAAAATTATTTTCTGTCATTTAAATGCAATGTCAATAGGTAAATATTGAAAAGCAAACCAGAAATAAACGAGGTGCTGGAGTTTATTTATGGATTATCTGGTTAGGGATCATGCCAAACGCAGTAATTGAATTGGTTTCTGTTTTATTGTATAATGTGCATAATACAAATGAACAATATGAAAGTTAAACAATAATAAATACTTAGCTCCAAATGAGCTTGCACAGCTGCACAATAGATGAGAAGCTTCCCCATTCCCTTTCTCCTCGTAAATGTAATAACGTTGACATAATATTTGCATTAACCTATTAAACTTATTGACATTTTATGAGCCAATTGAACGTGTTGTAGCTTTTCGCCATCTGTATATTAATTAATTTAAATTAGATACGTGGGCATAAATAGGCAATAACTGAGAGAATTAGTGCCCTTAAGATAAACTATCTAAAAGCCATTTTTATGTGTAAATTTTATTTGCTTTCAATCAACTGAACAACATTTTTTATTAATATATTAATTTCAATTTAAACATTATTCTAAAAATTCCATCGCGCACACATTTTCTTCTTCTTTAAATCAAACTCAACTCGAAATAAAACTTTTTCTTCGATAAATTTGTAGTGCTGCTAATGAAACCGTGGATGAGAACTGTCCACCGCTCACGGATGCGGCTAATCTTCAATATACAGAACTAATCCAGAGAATGACACATGTGTGTCGCTACGATCGCCTGGAGCGACCCATAGGCAAGTGTGTGTGCCGCAGGAGCACATTTATACAACAGTTGCAAAAAGCTCCGATCCTAACCATTGGTTGCTCCTTACAGAATACGACGTGGAAACATCGAAGCGTCTGCCGATTGTGGTGAAGATGCGCATCTATGTTTACCTGCTGCAGAATCTCAACTCAGACTTGCTGCAATTTAAAATGCATGCACTGCTCCAGCTAAGCTTCCAGGATAAGCGACTGGCATACAAGGATTTTGCGCCATCGCGATCGGAAACGATACTGGGGCAGAAACATTTGAGTGAACGCCTCTGGCTGCCGCACATATTCTTTACCAATGAGCGAGAGTCGAGCATCCTTGGAACCGATGAGAAGGATGTGCTCACCTCCATCTCACGCGAAGGCAATGTGATCATCTCCACGCGCATTCAAGCAACTCTCTACTGCTGGATGAACTTTAAGAAGTTTCCCTTCGATCAGCAATATTGTTCCACGGTGATGGAAAGCTGTAAGTATTGCTGACTTTCCCCATTTGATTCTGTACAATAATTGAGTTTACTTCTGCCAGGGATGTATAATACTTCCGATTTATTACTGGAGTGGGAGGATCACATGCCGATATCCTTTGATCCCGATATGCGACTCACCGAATATAACTTGGAAGACTTCTGGCACAATACATCCGTTGTCCACTCGGACGATGTCAATTTGCGGCACGGAGCATTCAGTAAGTTATCCTGCAGTAAATCTATTAAGGAATCCACTTATAATTGAATTAAATTTTCTTTTTTTTTTGTGTTGCAGAGGGCGATTACAGTATGCTAAGCTATACGGTTAGTTTGCAGCGCGAGTTTGGTTTCTATCTATTGGACTATTATCTGCCATCCATGATGATTGTCGCCATTTCTTGGGTAACCTTCTGGCTGCAGGCGGATGCTTCACCTCCGCGTATTATGTTAGGTAAGCCAATGAGAAAGCTTCTTCATTTTAACTTAGAAGTACTTAATCTTAAAACTTATCTTTTTCTTGCAGGAACTAGCACGATGTTGTCATTTATAACGCTGTCCTCATCACAGAGCAAAACGCTGCCGAAGGTCAGCTATATAAAGGTCTCGGAGGTGTGGTTTATTGGCTGCACCTTCTTCATCTTTGGCAGCCTGGTGGAGTTCGCGTTTGTCAATACGATATGGCGGCGCAAGGAGAATATTGAGCTGAAGAAAGTGAACAGTAAATATATAATAAAGTCAACATTAACGCCACGCCCCTCTCGCCGAAACCTGGGCGGCAGTTTGAGTAACGAATCTAGAGCACGCTCCTGCTCCAGCCTGGACAATATTGTGTCCAGCACGGAGAGTGTGCGCAATGGCAATGGTACTGTGAATCCTGGCTTTAACAATTACCTGACAGTGCACGTAAGTCTGGCTTTAGCTGACTGTAGTTTGTTGAACTGGTGTTAATATATTTCGATTGATTTCTTATAGCCCAATCTGCCCATTATTCGCACTGAGTGCGCCGACAATGTTTCCGTTTGCAGTACTCGTTCCACTAACGATCACGTTATCGATATTGAGAAGGATAAGGAGAAGGATGCTCCAACATTTACAACCATGACGCCGCAGGAGATTGCCATGTGGATTGATAGACGATCACGTTTATTGTTTCCCGGCATGTTCTTGGCTTTCAATGCGCTTTACTGGACTTTTGTCTATTGTTTTTAAGACTATGCGAATATATTTTAACACACATATTTTAACACAGTATATGTGTATTTAAATGTGCATTGATAACACACGCTCACACTCATACACTCATACACACACACACACACACACACAATTGTTGCCATACATGTGAATTCTTGTCGCTTGTGTTTGTTTTCTTTTACTATTACGTTTATTGTAATATGTATTGATTAGTTGTAAGTCGCATCATCTCATAGTCATAGTTGTATAAATGTCACTCATGTCTTATAACTATAATCAATATATATTTTAAGTACAAAAATACAGAGAAAAGAATATTTAAATTAAGCTTTTAAATAATGCGGGCTTGTGCCTTAAGTGTGACCACATATTTGTTGGAAAAAAACACACCCTGTTTAACAAACATGCTGTTAACTGTCTTATGAGTCACATCACCAGATGGCGCTTTTGCTCTCAGTACCTAAGACAATATATAGATGGCATCATTTGCGTGTGCAAAATAAAACGAACGAAATGCTTCATTAATGATAATTGAATAATTATGATTAGCTATTAATTATTAATTGGTAATATTTAATTGACTGTGTTCGGTAATTACTGGTACATGTCATGGTAAGTTTCCCAATTGTATTGAATATACCAATGAATAAACATTCATGCAATAGAAATTGTGGCTAATATCCGTTGAATTCAAATTTCCTGCTCGAGTTTGGTTCATTACATCCTCCATCCGCCCAGTGTGCACCCACTTGCAACGGTAATCAGACTAAGCTCTCGATGCATTTTGGCACTTTCATTTCCCTAAATATAATCAAAATATGCAAATGCAATTAAGCGAAAATTTAACATTTACAAAAGCGTGTTAATGCTCTTATCCCTGACTCGACTGCGAAAGCCTTCAAATATTTCGCTTTCATTTCGGAAAGTGAATTTCCAAAAGCAAATGCATATTTGTAAATGAAGATTTCATTTAATTAAAGCACATATTTGCAGCCGACAAGCTAGGTGGCTTTAATTGCAATTTAACATATAATTGTTTTAATATCTCAAGAAGTCTTGTGCTGGAGTAACTTTCTTCGATTTTATTGGGACATAGTCAAATTTGCCTTACTCAGCAAAATCTCTCATTGCAAATTGAAACATAATTTATTGAATTTGCGCGCTCATCGAGCGATTTACAGCACAATGGCAGCAAGTTGCGTGTGCAACAAAATAGGCGGCGTGCAACAGTTGGCCATTGATTTGTGTCTGAGAATTGCAGCAGTTTATCAGTTTAACATTCCAATCAAATTACGCACATGCCCTGAATGCAATCTAAATAGAGATTATAGCACTGAATAGCCATGCAAATTGATGCCGCAAATGATGTGTCACTTGTCATTGGAATTTACAATTTATTTAATAATAATTGAAAATGGTTTTTAAGCGGGCACAAAAATATCAAATTTTACAGATATGCAAAAATAATAATAATAATCACTTTAAAAATATTACAATATTAAAACAACATTTGTATAAATTTACCATTAATATTGCATGTGCAATGTGCAAGCAATATTTCCACACATGATTACATAATACATATTGCAATATTGCAATGAAATCATTAAGAACGAATGCAGCACTCTCTTCTTTTACTATCTTGCTGGTAGATCTTAGGAATGAGGCAGCTTGACAGCTTTTTGTCTCTTGGCAGTTGCCTCACACTTGGGAAATCAAAAGACATGACGACAAGCAATTGCTGCTGCGCCCAAGTGGCAATCAATTGAGCTGCGGTTGCGACCAGGCAATGCTTTTCCTGCAAAATGCGTAATGGAAAATGGCAGAATGCGGCCCAAAGCAAAAAGGTTCCGTTTGATAACGCCAGCATTTTTACCTATGCCTGCCTGGTCATCATCGAGTGCGAAATATCCAATTTCCGAAATGTGCGACAGCAACCTCAATGAGCCACAGATACTGTCATAGATACGTGTTACTGTTTTCTATATACTATATATATATATGCTCATTTATGTGAGTGTGCGAATAGTTGGCATCTGAACATTTTTATTTACATTTGTTCACCTATTTCATTATTTGCCATTTTGCTGACCAGTTACCTTTTATTTTGTTGCAACAATATTTGGCAGATACTTCCTGCACAGCCCCCTCTAAATGCTGTTTGATTAACTTCCGCCATTTGAATAGATTTATCTTTCTCCTTTGTCTATGTACATATTTGTGTAGTTGTATCTGCTTTTGGATGTTGCGTTGCCGTTGTGCAACTGTTTGCTGATGTTATTGCTTGCTTGCAATTGTTACATGATGAATTCCAACCAAAACTATATACAATAGTATTTCAGAAGAGTTTTGGTTTCAGATCGCTGTTCCAACATAATCATGATTATGCAGGCTTGTAAGCGTTTTCAACTTTAAGTGTAATATTAATCTAGAAGTCAAACTATGATCAACAAGCCCTTGCTTTTGAAAAACAGATCAATGTTATTGAACTCTAAGTCTCCAAATCGGAATGCGAAGATTTTCGATATGCAATTGAAGTTAATTATGCTATTAACTGCTACAATTGAGTTCACATTTCTTCAATTTACGCTCATTACGCATTCTGTTTTCGTATTCGCTTCCGTTTCCGTTTTCGCTCGGCTTTTTTCATCCCCCCAACGACGAATATTCGATTGCAATTTGTGTTATTAAAAGCTGAAGCATGGCCGCATTAGCCATTCTGCTTTTAATACGTTAATTTATCACCAGTTGCTAGTAGCGAGTAGTAGCAAGTTCTCAACTTTGGCGCTGCCATTGCCTTTTAACCATTTCTATATAAACATTTGGCAACAACAATAATGTTGCATACTTCCGAGAGCATCTTTAGTTGATCTGTGCCTATACCATATGTGAGTCACGTCTGCTCTGAGTCTCAGCACATATTGGCCTCAAGATTTATTACTACTTAGTATTTAAGTGAGACTTGATGGTTCTTCATGTACCCTCTAAGAATGTAGAAGGCAACTTTGACTTTAGTTGACTGAGTTATTTCCAATCAAGGTATTTTCTAGTCGATATATGATAGTTATCTATGTTTTTACCATTAACAATACACTTCCAACTTTCGTAAACTAAATATAAGTGCATATTAAAGCAAACACTAATGCACTTTTAATAAGCATTCTACAAATATTGGTCAGAAATGATGTTCTAGAAATTAAAGGAACTTATTAAACATACTCAGAAACTTTCGATTAACAACAGATGTATAAATAAGAATGTAAGCAAAGCTTTAATCATTTAACTGTTACTCTAAAAATCTTGTATCTTTACTTACATAGACGAATTATGTCTGCTTGGTTAATTACGATAAATAATGAGCGACCGCATTTGAAATTCTGTTTTTGACATTTTCACATCCACAAAGGGATAACAAACCGTAAATAAACAGCCAATATTTATGCACCCCATTGAGTGCAGACCTTAACTCAATTAGGATATTTGAATAGCTAATTGTGGGTATGAAATTACTTTAAATAATGCATAACATTTGAATGTTTTCGACAGGTGAAAACATTCACCTCTATAGTCTAAATTAGCTCAATTTTTAGTTACTTGATAGCCAATATAATGACCTTTACGGAGTTAGCAAACTATTGTGACAAGCGCATGTTCAACATTGTTGTCGATTTTCCATTTCAAAACTGTTTCAATTGAATGGAATTGTTGTAAAGTATCCAAAACGATGAGATATGCTGCATTCGCTGCCTGTCCTGAAGCTAAATTTGAATTGTCAAAAATATAACGAGATTTTACCTCCTCCCCACAAGCTTTTTGCTCAGGTCTCATCTCTCAGTTCGTTGGCCATTGGCTCGTTTCGCTGACATAAACTGCATTGAAATGTCATAAAAATTGAAACACGTTTCTCTCGTCCACCTCTCGGATCGCTTGCCATCTGCAGACCAGTATTCGAGATGTCCTCCATCCTCTCTTCTGTCCTTGTCCTGTTGCTGCTGCTGCTGCTGCTGCTGGCTGACTTTGAATGGCAGTTGGCTTGTGTTGCTGCAGTGTCGCATGATGCTGTTGTTGCTATTGTTGTCGGTTTTGGGCTGCTGCTTTGCATACAAATAACGGTAATCTTTACCTACCCCACCGCCCCCCGGCTAGTCTGCTGACTTTCCTGCTGTCCTCTGCATTTGCCCTATTTAGCTGATGTTGCGCTTTTGCACTTTACACGTGGCCAAGTGGGCGTGGCTCCGACTAACATGTGTGGGCGTTGTGGGCCGAGTTTGGCTTGGTTTGGTGTTTAGGGTTAGTTGTGCTGCTATTATGAAAATTTATTGTTTTACGTGTAGCACAATTCGGGACATTTTTGAATAGATTTTAAGAAACTTGGTACTCTAATAGATTATGGGAAAACAATCTTTTAAGAAGTGTTCAAATAGTCAGATGAATTCAATTATTTAAATTCATTAGTTGAAGTGCTAGTTTAGCGCCATAAATTAGAAAACCCAACTAATTCTTTGATGTATAACACCAGCTGTTGGTGTTTCAATTATTTCATTTATGCCTGATTAATTTGAATGGAAATATCCACATTTTCTGTCTACTAAGACATTTTATGCCTACTCAAAGACCATAACAAGCAAATGCCATTAACTGCAGTTAGTTTTGCAATCAATGGCATACTACCAGCACACACACATACACACACACACACCATTGAATGTGGGCTGGTTGTGTTCTACATTTAAAGTACAAGCACAATCGATTTGCATTTAATTGCATCTGCGGCTCCGCAAAATTTGTTGTTCGCAAATTTCTGCAATCGAAATTATTATTCACATTGTCGTAATGTTTATGTATTTGTTTTGTTTGTTAGTTTAATTTGGCTCAACTTTTACTGGTTTCGGTGTGTGTGTGTGTGTGTGCTGCATAAGTGTCGAGAACTCGAGAAGTGTGTTTTATGTGGGGTGTTAAGTGTTTTGTTCATTGGAAAGCCCGCACCTTCTGTTTATTATGCAATTACCAACAAGGCGTATGCGTAATGAGCATAATATTTGCCTGATAAGCGTAGCACTTGAAAACTTTATTGCAAATGCAAAGCATATATGCACTTGATAATTAATATTTTCAGTTTTCTATCAATTATTCTGAACAATTTTAATTGGTTTTATACAAATTTTGAATGTGGGTTTTATGTAAAAGTAACAATTTTAAGGAGTCCAGTTAAGAGCTAGACGGATTATGGAATCGAGATAGGCGTAATCTGATACGATAAAACTATCCAAACGTGGAATGCTCAGTGCACAGCCAGTTGTGAAACAGAAAACATATTTAAACTATTTTTTTGTTGCTTAAACTCTTTCTTTCTTGTTTTAAATTGTTTTTCAATGTTTGAGACACTTTGACCTACTGCAAAGCCTGTCTGACGTTTGGTTGCATCTCAACTGGGCCTAAGTCGGCTTTCTGTTCAGTTATTATTACAGTGGGTAGCTAAAATGTATCTGTCAATAATCTGGTAGCTTGTTAGATTTTGTGCCTTTTCCAGCCACAAAGA